AACTCATCTTAAAATTATTAAAAAAAAAGAAAGAAAGAAAGAAAGAAAGAAATTAAAATCCACACAAACACTACACTTATATCTAAATTTTCATCAAAAGAAATCTGATAGAGCAAGTTCAACCCAGGTCTGCCATGTTCCTGCATAATCCTGCTCTTGTCTCCATAACCTTACACCACACTGTCAGTAATTAATTCACCCATCACCCTGTCCCCAGGGGATGCCCAGGTGCTCAACAATTAGCCTCTGTGAAAAAGAAAGCTAGAATAATGTGCTGTCATGCAGGCCATCCATCCCTGCCAATATCAGGTGCATGGCTGTATCAATCAGACTGGACTGTATTGATAACCCACTAGGGAAGGGATTAGTGCAAGCTATGGCTCTCACTTGGGTGTTGATTCAAGAATTACAATGATAGGGCTTATCTGTTATCATATGATAGAATGCCGTTAACAAATAGACAAGTATGCCTTGTCATGGAGGGTCGTCTGGGGAATCTGACCCTTAGCTTCTTTTTTTTTTTTAAATAATCATTAGGGGTCATTTTTTATACTTATTCTAAATATCATGGTGCTAGTAGTTTGTTACAAGTAAAGTTCAGATTCATAAAGGAATATTGCTAGTAATCGAGATATGCCAGTACTTCAGCTGTCACAAGAACCTGGCTGGCATTCAACTGTCCTAGGATTGTTAAAATCCTGCACTACTTGAACCAATAAATATTTATAGATAGTGGCAGTGCTTCTGTATGACTGCATGACCAAGGATGTAAAATAATAACTTTCTCAGTGCTAACAGCTTGAATGTACAAGTTTATAGAAAGCTTATCTGAAGATCTGGCACAAGGGGTGTGGACACACGCAGGAATACCAGACACTCATTAAAAAGTCTGAAAAGTGAAGTGGACATTAAGCCTCTAGACTCCCTAGCACTACCAGTAACCAAGTATATATTACCTACCAGTGCATTCTGGTCAATAATCACATCTTAAAAGAACCGAATAAGAAATATGTGAAATAATCTGATGATCAAACTTTCAGGAAAAAAAAAAGAATAAAAGAAAAAGAAAGATACATAATAATAAGATTGAAAAAGCATTAATAAAAAATGTATGACAAAAAAGGTCCAGGGTGCCACAGAGTCCATTTAAGTCATCATCTGTTGACAATTTCTCATTTCTGTCTATTTTCTATAACTAGCACAGCATGAAGGAATTCTTGATAATTATCAAGCATACCAAGCAGCCCAGGTCTTTGTGTTGGTCTGCAGGCTGCCCGTTTTTCACAGTAAGATAAGATAGCGCAGGTTACTAATTGAATATCCCACAACGATGTCTACTCCTCACACCTCAACGCCACTGTCATATCCAATACAGCAACGCTATCATCACCTCCCAGAGAAACAAGTCAAAAGAGACATTTGTGTTTGAATTCAGCAGGTGTAGTCCCATCTACAATATTTACCAACTGAAAGCCATTTTTTGTTACATTTTCAGGCTTAGATGTCATGTTCGCTTTCATGCTTTACTTTCCTTAATTGAAAATCTGCATACACTGCAGGGAAAATAGTAATTTCTCTCATAATAAAAATCATGCTGAGTGTAATGGGGGCACTTCAAACAGAGAGCAGATAAGTCTGGTTTAATTAATACACCTATCTAACAGAGGGTCATAAGAAACCAGTATGCAATGGAGTCAAGCAAGTACCTGGTCTTTGTGAATGGGCCTTTGGGCATGCTTAGCACAGACAGGTAAAACTATCAGTACTTGTCCTCATCAGGAGCCAAGACAGGTCAACATACTAATGAGGAGACTTCCAAGTCTCCACATGTGAATACACCATGAGACCAACCAGCATTGTTGTCTACAGGCAAATCATCACCATTCTGCTTTGTAATTTGACATCATTTATCTTAGCACAACAGCCTGTGGTCCCCAACATCCTATGTAATACCGAGCAAAGGACAGCTAATTACTGAGCCACATTGATCTTGCTTCACATGGACAATATGGGTTCTTGGGAACGGGCAAACATTATTGTTTCCCCACTAAACCATGCATCAAATGTTTGCAAAGAAATAGAATAAATAAGTTGGAGGAGACCTCATTTAAATTTTGCCCAGAGCAGATGGTAATGTTTCTGGTCTCTTTAGAGTTCTGGTCAGTGTACTTTGGGAGATGTGTATCAAGCTGTATTGAATTATCAGAGTAAACACATTTACCTAGAAAACACAAAATTGGTTTACATCATAGGTAAGGAGTATGCTTGATGTGTTGACATCCTGCAGAGCTGCTTTAAGCAGAATTTAATGGATGCAATATCTCACTTATGCCAGTTAGTAGTCTTCACCAAGTGTATTTTTGTCTATAAGTGAATAGAAAGTACTTCTCGTTACCGATACAAAACACCATCAACCTTCAGTGTCGGAAATATGTTGAAATTAGCATACAGCAAAAATATTCAGCCAAATATAATTTCTGATCTCCCCAACAATTATGATGAAAAACAGATAATGAGGAAATGACAGACTTGCCAATGATTACTATCTGATTATCTTGCAGCAGGTGGACCCTGTCCGAGTACCTTCAGATATTTTATTTCATAAGTTATGACTTAAGTATCTTTAAACATATTTATATATTTATCCAAATATCTTAAATTGGAAAGAGTTTCCTAAATGATCTGTGGCACCTGGACAGAAAATGCCCTTCACTACTTAAACACAGTTGTGTCACTTGTCCAGGGTCCTTTGATCTATTCTACACACCCTAAGTCACTAACTAAATAGAAAATTGAGAATACTTTCCCTAACTAAATACAAAATTGAGAACATTACCTATGTAAACCACAAGTCAATATAACCAAGTTAAAATCTGATCCTGGGTGCGTTGTTTTGATTGGCTAAATGCAATTCCCTTCCTAAAAACATTGTTGATTACATATCGGGTTCATTTGGCAAATACATGGATAGAATTTGTCCACCTTGTTGACAAAGCTGTAGTATTAAGTTTTCAAAATAGCTCCTGCTGGAAACGTAATGATCTTTTAAGATGCATTAAATGCTTTCCATTTCTATTTATAATGCCGTACTCAATTTTGGCAGTGAGGATAATGATAGCCCACCATTCCAAATCAATTCTACATGCAGACAAAAACAATCTTTTTAAGATGGCATGAGTTCATTTTAGCAAACTGCAGACACGATGCCCATTAGATGTCTGTGTCTCTAGCCAAAAGGCTGCCTTATTACTGGATACATGCACGTTTAACACCTTCCCTCACACAGACATGGAAAGGTATTCACATACCACTGAAAAAAAAAAAAACCATCAGAAAAAAAAAGAAACCGACAATAGTGTCAATTTCATCCCATATTATTCAATTTCTGCCTAAAATGCCCAAAAGCAAGATTAACCCACTGATACTTTCTTCAAGGTGCATTTTTTTCTTTGAAAAGGTTAACATTTCCCGCACAAAAACGAAGTAGATACTCCAGCGCAGTAGACTACTGCAATCATACTGCAAACATGCTTCAAATCTGCTTCGATGTGGGAGCTAATTAGCATATTTGAAACATGCTTCTATCAAGCTGCTAATCTACTGCATTAATGCTCCTCCTCTGTACAACCCTATGTAATTTTTGAAGTAGAATTGCAGTAGGCTATACTGCATTTCTACTGCAAATATGCTCCACACCTCTACTGCGTTAATGCTTCTTTGCTACTTCGATACTACTGCATTTTCGTGCGGGTTATTTAGCCTAAATTCCAAATTAGCTGACAGTAAATGAATCCCTGCCAGTGGATGCAACAATAGTGAAAACCCAGACAACTGCTGTCTCACCTCTGACCTATCTGAGAGATCAGCTGAGATAAAAGGCATCAGAATTGTATAATCATGGCAGTTACATTGTTCCTTTTAGTCAACTACACTACACAAACAACTTCACAAGAAATAGCCCAGCTCCAATTGCATTTGCAATATTATGAAATCACTGGCCAGCACTAAAATCACACTTTTCTTACCCTCCAGACCATTTCTTCTAAAATAGTGCTCAGTCACTGATTAAATAAGCTACATAATACTATCACCTCTACAGAAAATAGAACTACTTCAATTCCTCCAGCCACTAGTAACAAGCCATAGAATAGTGGCATCAACACAGGAAACCATTGAAAACCCTTGTCCTTTAAGTTGCAGAGTGAGAAGAAACTCTAAAAAGTTACAAGTGCATTTATACAATTATTTTTTTTATGTTTCAGATTTTAAATTCAAAACCAATAACACAATTTCCATTAAGATTAAGAAGTTATTGCTATCAGTCAAAAAATACTAGAAAGTACAAAAAACAGTTGTATCAACCAGAAGTGCTTGACAGTGCCTCTCAAGTTTTAAAGATAAAGAACTCTAATACTTCCACAAATAACCACAAAACTAATTTTCGCAAACAAAGATAGAACAAATCATTTGCAGATCAATAGGTCAAGATAAAATTTGGCCAGTCTTGCTATGTAGGTTGATGTTGGTTGTTGACAAGATGTTTGCGATAAGCCCAAGTCCCATGAATGAACCCCAGTGAGGAGAGACACGAACGGGGGTTTTAATATTTGCAGTCTCTAGCACAACTACTGCTGAAGTTGTTAGTTTCATATTTTCCATGAATAAACAACAGCTGAAGGCCGTACTGTCAAAAATCTGACAAACATTTATACTGACATGCATACCAAGCGGTAAACAGTTTTTCTCTCTCTCTCTCTCTCTCTCTCTCTTACACATCGGGCACATGCCAATTCTACAGCACAAAATAAAGTCACGAAACGATACTTCTTTAACAAAGTGGGATTCTATTTTATTGTCTACCACATTACTAGAATCGATTTCTGCTTCAGTTAGTGAATTTACTACCTTTTCCCCCACGCGTTTCCGATAAAACAGAGTACGCGTTAAAAATAGATTTACAAAATGCACCAATATAGCGGCATTTTTTCACGTTCTCTCACCTTGTAGCAAAGTAAGAAGTGCTAACAACAAGGCCTGAGCCTTCATCGTAGAATCCCTGTGATTGGCATAAGCTCCAGTTACTGTAAAAATCTCCAATCTGATTTCCCGCAGGTATATCTTCCGCCGTCCACCGTTACTCGCTGTCTGTTTGCACTAAAGCGACTGAATGAAGTTTACACTGCATGCCGAGATTATTGATCAATGTCATACTGAAGCTAGTTCCTTAGTTTCATACTTAGTTGTAAAGAAATGGATTTTTTTAATCTGACAATTCTAAATCTAAAAGAATAAACTTTAAGATTTTCATGTAAATCTACATATCATATTATTGTAATACGAATGCTATTATGTATTTTGTTTTTAGTTTTAGCATTTTTCAACTGAGATTGGTATAACTAAAAAGAGGAAATGTACCTAGCTTTGCATGTTATAGTTTTAGCAACTAAAATTGTTGCCCAAGGGTTATAAGAACAATTTCGTTTGGTTATAATGCAGAAACTAACAAAGTAACAATGAATTCACCTGAGGATATGTATCAGTTAACAGCTGACCAATACTTAGGTAAGTTATTCCCGGAATATACGATGTAAATTACATGTAGGAGTTTGAGTCATCTGAATAGCATATTTGCCCAACTTGCAGACTCTAACTAAATCAATGTTTCAAACATTACAACAAAGTGCAGAATTTTGACCACTTTCTTTTCCCTTAGAAGGACACAGGACTCCCTAGCACATGTTTAGGTGCACAGTGCGCCATACAGCTGATATATATTTCAATAAATGTTGTCTTATCTGTCTGTGTACACTACAATGTCAACATAAGTGATTACAGGTGCCCCAGAGATATCTAGCTGACACATTTATGTTATAAATTATATATACATGGTCAAATCTGTTACTCTTTTCATAATATCAGTGCACATATTATAGCAGCCACTGTATATATGAACTGTTTGTAAAATAAGAAAATGGCACTATTAAAGGTATGATGAAATTTTTCCCCCTGCTGAAAAAAAAAACACATATCAAAATAGGAGTGAATATTTCAGGAATGCTTGAAATTGCTTTTTCACTTGGCTTTAGTTAAGTGAAAGAAAATTAGTTTTGAAATTATATATTTCATTTCGATATTCAATTGAGTGAGGGTCAGCAGTGGAATGAAATTGTCTTAGGGTGCATTCCCAGAGATTTAGATCAATCCAGAGATTAAGATTTAGGTCGACCTAACTCCCTGGGGGTTCACGCTAAATTGTAGTCAGCCGAGCGCACCATAGTTAATTACCCACTTACAGCTTTTAGTAGGCGGGACAGACGCTTAAGCTGGCTAAGCTGACAGTAATCTAGTGAGACTCTCCACAGGGATAGATCGATCTAAAATCTATGGCAATGGGGTCTTAGACCCTAGGGAAATTCTTCAACGGAACTTTATTACACCAAAATTGCATACTATGTATATATGGGCTGTAATGATTAAGAATACATTAGACCATGATGATTTTCTTACATGAGTTTAATTTTCAACTTTATTGAATACCAAAGTCGCCATGCTTGTACATTCGCGTGACTTAAATTATTGTAAATTTCTTTTTTTTTTTTTTTTTTTTTTTTTTTTTTTTTTTTTTTTTTTTTTTTTTTTTGGGGGGGGGGGGGGGGGGGGGNGTTATTTAGCCTAAATTCCAAATTAGCTGACAGTAAATGAATCCCTGCCAGTGGATGCAACAATAGTGAAAACCTAGACAACTGCTGTCTCACCTCTGACCTATCTGAGAGATCAGCTGAGATAAAAGGCATCAGAATTGTATAATCATGGCAGTTACATTGTTCCTTTTAGTCAACTACACTACACAAACAACTTCACAAGAAATAGCCCAGCTCCAATTGCATTTGCAATATTATGAAATCACTGGCCAGCACTAAAATCACACTTTTCTTACCCTCCAGACCATTTCTTCTAAAATAGTGCTCAGTCACTGATTAAATAAGCTACATAATACTATCACCTCTACAGAAAATAGAACTACTTCAATTCCTCCAGCCACTAGTAACAAGCCATAGAATAGTGGCATCAACACAGGAAACCATTGAAAACCCTTGTCCTTTAAGTTGCAGAGTGAGAAGAAACTCTAAAAAGTTACTTGTGCACTTATACAATTATTTTTTTTATGTTTCAGATTTTAAATTCAAAACCAATAACACAATTTCCATTAAGATAAAGAAGTTATTGCTATCAGTCAAAAAATACTAGAAAGTACAAAAAACAGTTGTATCAACCAGAAGTGCTTGACAGTGCCTCTCAAGTTTTAAAGATAAAGAACTCTAATACTTCCACAAATAACCACAAAACTACTTTTCGCAAACAAAGATAGAACAAATCATTTGCAGATCAATAGGTCATGATAAAATTTGGCCAGTCTTGCTATGTAGGTTGATGTTGGTTGTTGACAAGATGTTTGCGATAAGCCCAAGTCCCATGAATGAACCCCAATGAGGAGAGACACAAACGGGGGTTATAATATTTGCAGTCTCTAGCACAACTACTGCTGAAGTTGTTAGCTTCATATTTTCCATGAATAAACAACAGCTGAAGGCCGTACTGTCAAAAATCTGACAAACATTTATACTGACATGCATACCAAGCGGTAAACAGTGTTTTTTTCTCTCTCTCTCTCTTTTACACATCGGGCACATGCCAATTCTACAGCACAAAATAAAGTCACGAAACGATACTTCTTTAACAAAGTGGGATTCTATTTTATTGTCTACCACATTACTAGAATCGATTTCTGCTTCAGTTAGTGAATTTACTACCTTTTCCCCCACGCGTTTCCGATAAAACAGAGTACGCGTTAAAAATAGATATACAAAATGCACCAATATAGCGGCATTTTTTCACGTTCTCTCACCTTGTAGCAAAGTAAGAAGTGCTAACAACAAGGCCTGAGCCTTCATCGTAGAATCCCTGTGATTGGCATAAGCTCCAGTTACTGTAAAAATCTCCAATCTGATTTCCCGCAGGTATATCTTCCGCCGTCCACCGTTACTCGCTGTCTGTTTGCACTAAAGCGACTGAATGAAGTTTACACTGCATGCCGAGATTATTGATCAATGTCATACTGAAGCTAGTCCCTTAGTTTTATACTTAGTTGTAAAGAAATGGAGTTTTTAATCTGACAATTCAAATCTAAAAGAATAATCTTTAAGATTTTCATGTAAATCTACATATCATATTTTTGTAGTACGAATGCTATTATGTATTTTGTTTTTTAGATTTAGCATTTTTCAACTGAGATTGGTATAACTAAAAAGAGGAAATGTACCTAGCTTTGCATGTTATAGTTTTAGCAACGAAATTTGTTGCCCAAGGGTTATAAGAACAATTTCGTTTGGTTATAATGCAGAAACTAACAAAGTAACAATGAATTCACCTGAGGATATGTATCAGTTAACAGCTGACCAATACTTAGGTAAGTTTGACATGCATTCCCTGAATATACGTTGTAAATTACATGTAGGAGTTTGAGTAATCTGAATAGCATATTTGCCCAACTTGCAGACTCTAACTAAATCAATGTTTCAAACATTACAACAAAGTGCAGAATTCTGACCGCTTTCTTTTCCCTTAGAAGGACACAGGACTCCCTAGCACATGTTTAGGTGCACAGTGCGCCATACAGCTGATATATATTTCAATAAATGTTGTCTTATCTGTCTGTGTACAATGTCAACATAAGTGATAACAGGTGCCCCAGAGATATCTAGCTGACACATTTATGTTATAAATTATATATATACATGGTCAAATCTGTTACTCTTTTCATAATATCAGTGCACATATTATAGCAGCCACTGTATATATGAACTGTTTGTAAAATAAGAAAATGGCACTATTAAAGGTATGATGAAATTTTTAATTTACATTTAGATAGCTACAAAGTTACTTCCCCCCGCTGAAAAAAAAATACATATCAAAATAGGAGTGAATATTTCAGGAATGCTTGAAATTGCTTTTTCACTTGGCTTTAGTTAAGTGAAATAAAATTAGTTTTGAAATTATATATTTCATTTTGATATTCAATTGAGTGAGGGTCAGCAGTGGAATAAATTGTCTTAGACCCTAGGGAAATTCTTCAACTGAACTTTATTGCACCAAAATTGCATACTATATATATGTGCGCTGTATTGATTAATAATACATTAGACCATGAAGATTTTCTTATATGAGTTTTTTTTTTTTTTCAACTTTATTGAATACCAAAGTCACCATGACTGTACATTTGCATGACTTAAATGATTGTAATTTTTTTTTTTTTTTTTTTTTGGGGGGGGGAGGGGGGAGTTACCTTATTTTATCTTTTGGTTGCTTGTATAGAGAGCAGTACTCTGCTCACAAGGTTGTCTTTATTAATTGTCAGCAGATGGCTAGTCCAAGTCTGTTTTATGGTCATTTATTGAATGCTCCTTATCTTAATCCCCTTCAGTGATTTTCATTTCACTGATTACACACCTGGTTACCAAGGAACACTAATTACTTATTTGATTTATGATCACCTGTATTGCACATAAAGGAATACTCATTACAACAGAATGGCAACAGAGACCATGATTGCATTTTGTATATGATATTATGACCTAGTGATCAAATGCATAATGTATTTCATTAGCTTGAAGATATCATGAAGATACCAATACCATGATTAATGGGACTGTAGATGGGGTCCAGGGGTTCAAAAGATGATCTCTGTTTGGCCAGGAAGAGGTCCACTCTGAATCAAAATTTGATTTACACTCTTAAAATTTGATTTAGACTATGACGACATATTGGTTTCATGGTAAAAAGATACACTCTTTCAGAAAAAGTCTCTCCCCCCCCCCCCCCAATTGCCAGTTACAGGCCTGCATAATAAAATCATATAGTCCCTTTTTGCAATATGAAGCACTGGTATTTTCTATTGAATAAAATTTATGATTATTTCTTGATTTTTTTTTTCAATTTCAGAAAAGACCAATATCCTGATCTATATTGAAGATGCAGTCGCACAACTTCTTGAACACAAAGAAGAAAATCCTAAAGTTAATCCATCAAAATTTTTCAGTGATTAGTAAGTTTATTGTGTTGTCTTTGTTTTAGAATAAGAATTATAACTGCTGTATTATTTATAAATCATCCCTATACATTAAGAACTGTGAACTATTTGATTGAAGCTCCCTTTATTCTTATACAAAAGTTACCTGGCTATGTAAGTGATATCACAGAAAGCCCAGGCTGAATTTATTGAGTTGGTGAACAAGTGTGAGGAAATTAGGGTATATTTTCTGTGTAAGTATAATGGATTGTAAAAAAGGGAATTGGGCATTGGTTTGGGAAAGGAATTCAAGCTCCCCCCCCCCCACCCCACCTCTTCATTGAAAAAGCCAAAACACCAACAAAACCCTAAAATTAGCTGCAGTGTCTGTGAAGTACCATGTGTCCAAAAAAAATGAAAATGAATGTTGTCTACCAACTCTGTTTAGAGAGGGTGGCCACTCGTTAGCCAACTTATTGATTTTACCTGACCTTATGAATAGTAATTTATAACTCTTTAGGGATTCATTACTATTCTAATCTGTTAGAGTTGCAGATAAGTCTCCAGTGCAATGTTATATAAGCACAGCGACAATATAACATAGTGAGCTGTTTGTGTATATTTCTGTTCAGAAACTGTATATTTTAATAGACCGTGGAAGTAAAACAACATGTACACTGTTGATGTAGACGCTCTGGGAAAGCAAGAGTGTTGTTTTTGAATAAGCCAGCAAAGGCAAAATCCCTAAAAGTACTTTGAACATGGAGAGCCCTGAATAGGACTAATTACTATAAGCATGACAAGCTTAGTACATGGGTGGGATCCATGTTTTACTATTATATCCCATTGTATGGGCCTAGCCAGTGGGTATTTCAACAGATAGGACTACCTTGTTATATCATATAAGTTGTGTACAGAAAAAACAAAGGCTGTTGAACAAGGTGAAGATTAATTATTTATGTTGGTAAAAGGTTGAGGAGGGGTTGTTTGTTTTGTCAGGTAATTAGACTCATTTGAGATGAGTTGTCTAGCTTAATGAAGTCCATATGTGTGTGCTGCTAGACAGAAAACCATGCCTATTTATTTCATTATTGAAAATTTTGACATGGCCTGTTCTGCTGTCAAATGGAAATGTTGACTTCAGTCACCAATATCCTCTAACTAGTATATGTTTTAGAACCTTATTGTCTAAATCTCTAAGGTGCAAATGTAAGTGCTCCTTCTTTATTTGGCATCTGAAATATATTTTGTCTGTAAGTACTAGTAAGCTTTTTTTTAATATAGGTGTATAAAGGGATGGAGTCACTATTTTAAATTTTTTCTCATGATCAGACTATGCAATTTGCCTTTGCCTTCACTTTTGTTGGCAGATTCATGACCGAGCCAGACTGTAAATTGATTAGACGAAAATCTTTTACCACATAACTTCATTGTGCAACCATTATACTTCATACTTATTATTCATTCTTCTGTAGAATCACATTAAAGGCTACATGCACAGAGGTCTAATACAATCTCTAATTTTGACTGCAACTTGACAATTTGCTTGATGAGTGGAAAGTTTATTTTATCTGGGAAGAATACTGATGAAGATGATTCAATAAGACCAGATGATTCAATAAGACCACATAAACAATAGCTTTTAATATGGTTATGTTCTGATTTTTTCCCTTAAAGAATTATTTTTATTTTATATTTAATCTTAGTCTATAAATGGTTGGTAACTCAGAACTAGATTGCTTTCACAGTACATGCTAGTTGATCTCTCCTTTGTTTTGTCTCCATCTGTACATTTATATATCTTTCCATTTTTTAAAATATGAAATGTAGCAGAGTTCAGTAGATAGTGTTTGAAAAAAATGAATAACTTTTAAAAAATGATAAAATCATAAAATGGTGATTGCTTTTTATGATAACTTTCCCTGCTACATTTTCCACATGTCAGATGTTTTCAAAATATTTTTTCACTCTAGCTTTGTGAGCTTGAGGGAGGGAAACCACACATTGTTCCGTGACTACCACTTCATCCATGCCACTCCACATAACAGGAGCTCATTTGTCAAAACTTTCTGGAAATGCTTTAGACATGTAGGGAAACAGGGAGGTGAGTTTTAAAAAATAGGAAACTATTATTGTAAGATGGGATCAGTTGTATCCTTACTGTAGTGTGAGTCAGTTTTATACATGTACTGTTAATTCAATGTCACTTTTCCAAAATAACCTTTATATTTTATACGGAAAGTACATTAATTTTTTTTTAAATTATTTATTTTTTCTTTTTTAGATCTATTCTGTTATTCTGATTATTTTTTTCTGATACATTTAAAAATATGTATCATATTTTATAATCAGTTTGGCATATATGTTCAATGTGCGACAGTAGTTACCTAACCTCTATTTGTTTCTTTCAGATTTGTTGAGTATTCAAGAATATCATGCTCTGATTTGTCTGTTGTGCAATGACTTCCCATTTGAAACAGTTCAGAAAACTGCAAGGTAATAAAACTTGCCTGCACTGCGTTACAGATCAAATATTTACAAAAACTCCTTAATTAAAATTTTCTCATTTCGAACTACACCCATATGTTATTCAAGTTTGTAACAAATGAAACACGGGGATTGGTATTTTTTACACAGAATGGTTACAAAACACATTCTTACCAGGTAATTGATTACGCCCAGTAACTGTACCACTGCAGTGACAGGGTACATGAAAATATGCAGTTCTGTGTGACAAAAAGAGAAAATAGGAATAAATGGATTTCTGTTTTTTTTTTTTTTTACGTATGAAATATTGTACATTAGAGTATGACATAAAATCAAACTAGGCATGTCTGATATTAACTATGATCACAAGTTCTAACACTTGTCACAGTAAGGAAGTAAGAGCCCAGTTGGTGTTCTGTGTGAGTTCATGTTTCACTTGTTCCCCAGGGAGGAAAATATGCTCTCTCACACACTGCCTCTTTCCACCTATTATCAGCTGAAATTGGTGTATGAGACATCATATTTGCTGAGGCAGCCCTGTTTGAAGAGAAATGTTTGATTATTTCTTTGTTGTTATGAAACAACTTGTAACAAGAGAAGAAAAATAAGGTCTTTTATTTATTTATTTATTTATTTTGTTATTGTGTAAACATGTTGTCAGACAATTATGTTTAGAAATCATCCTATCTTTGATGTTTAGTATAACGTAATTTTTATAATGGCACTAGGATATACTGCAGGAAATAATCTTTGGAAAAAAATGAATTGGATTCAATTACTTTTTAAACAACTAATTACCCAGTGAAAGATTTTAAATAAAACAGTAGCATTTTTAGAAGGATAACTAGCAGATTAGATTGTCACTTTTTGTTTTAAAGTCACATGGTGACATTGGAGAGAGAGTTTACTTATATCACTTTTTAGTATGGTAGATAAAAACTCCTTTTGTATAATGCAGTGTATTTTTTACTCAAGTCCGTCTTAATTAGGGAACTGTAAATGCTTTCTACAGTATGAGTTAATTCTCCCCAGTTTTCCATTATCATAGAATGAAGGTTGTTTTGATATATCCAAACCTTTTTATGTGAATGTGCACATCCACAACACAGCTTTCATGACAATGCTAATTGCTTTCAATACACCAACATATTCACAGTGATGAATTCTTTATGATGTTTGGTTTTTACTGCCCTGTCATGGAAAGCTCAGCAGATGGTTGTTTTTTAATTGAAAAGTGTTATTAGTTGGGAGTGAGTGCTTATAATTGCCTTTTTGTCTTCATTGCCAGACTTAAAAAGCATGTCAGTCTTTTGGGATATTTTAATGAGAATGGAATTGGTTATTTTGGCTTTGAATTAGTAGATTTTCTGATATAAGAAGGCTCCACTTGGAAAAAGGATGAGTTTGTTATGAGCAGCACTAGTGATTTTATGAATCTGTGGAATCCCTTTGATATGGAGAGTATAGGAAAGGTTAATTTGTTGCTGGGTGGGCGGGGGGAACAGCCAACTGATCAGTATACAAGATACAGCTGTGTAAAGAGCACGTTGCCAGGAATTCTTCTCAGAAAATGTTTGTCATCTTCAGGTCAGCAACATTCTCTTTCCCTCTCTTCAAGAGATAGAATGAAGATAAAGATAAAAAACATTGCTGGCATATTCTTATTTTCTTCAGGTCTTCATCTCTTTTCAAGAATGAGAATGAAGGGGGAAATTGTATTGCCTGGATATTTTCGTCTTCTTCGGGTCAACCATGAAGTTCTCCTCTCTTTTCCAGAAATAAGATGAAATGGAAGCCATTCCAAAGCAGAAATGCAAATTACGTGGGTTTTTATTACTATCTTAAATGTTTGGTAGAATGCATGCATGTATTTGTCTTCTCAATCTGAGATTTTTGCCCCCTGGAGAGATCGAAATAAATAGAAATGCACTTGCATAGAGAGGCTAAAGCATGCTAATTGGAAGAGGTGGAATTGTGATTAATCATATAGATTATGTAAAAAGGGCAATCTCTAAGATTCTGCTGATTGATATGTTTTAAATACATGGAATATATGCTGAAGGAGTTGGCAAAGTGAACAATGCTGTTATATGCTCAGAAATATGGAATATATGGAAATAGAATGCAATCGTTATTCTTTGATTTAGAAGTTGAGGAGCAGATGCTGGTTTCAGGAAGCCATTGTGAGCAATAATTGTTGGCAGAGTGTTCCTTAAATTTACCCATGTATTTGATGAGGAGATTTGTCAAACAAACCCCCGTAACATAAGGTTGTCAGCCAACAAAGGTTGCGTGAGAGAGGCCCCAGGTTCTCTTAGTCTTAGTCAAGCTGACCAAAAGCACCCATATATCCTATACAAAATAATGCTGTCATTTTTAAAGTAGTCACTGTAACTGCATACCTGTATAAATCACCATTTTGCAAGTGCTTTGTATCTGCCCTGAACCACTCTGTTTTTGTCTTATCACTGTGGCCAGGTGTTTTATTTGAAATACTACTGCTTAACAGCAGGCAAATATCTGTTTTGGACCGTTTTCAAAGAAAACCTATTTTGGCATTGCAGTTAATGTGATTGTGCTGATGAGCAATTTTGATTGTTTGTATTATTTATGTTGATTTGTTTTAAAAGGCGCAAAATCCAAGGAGTGTCTTGATCTAGAAATAACATTTTGTTTATTATGTAATTTGCCAGCTGTCTGTGGAGGTTTATTCGCCATTTTTTTCTGGGTGGTACATTACATAGTTCTGTTTCGTTTGTTGGTTTTAAGGAGGGGGATTGCGTTTTTTAAAAGTCAGGGGATATTGGGAACTCACTAATTTATCAGTAAAGTGAAGTGTTTTATGTCAGGCATAGTATGGTATAAGTCATGTATATATATTATTGCTGCAGAATTATTTCATTAAAAGAATTGGAAGAAAAGCCCTCAAATTTAAATTTCTTGATTAATATTTAAGAATTAGTCCAATGGTTGATTTCAATTTCACTTTTTATCACAAATACAATTTTTCTACTCATCCTGTCTTAAAATCATTGAAGATAAGGTGATTAAAAAATTCTTACAGTGTTTCGTCTGCAGTATGATGGCATTTGTATTGAATTAGTAGTCAATATCCCAAGACTTTGCACATATCCTCTGAGACTTCTTTTAGGTTTTATCTATGTGACACAATGTAAAGCTTTCCAAAGTTGCACAGGATCAAACCAATCTGCTGTTCATTGAATGAAAAAATCAAATTAGGTAGCGAATCAAATCAGGTTTCCAGCTAAATGAAAGGGCTAATAAATTGTGACATATTTCCTCTTTTGTTCTTTTTTGTCTCCATTTTGCCAACTCATTCCTATGGGTATTGACTACAAGTTTTTTTTTTTAGTCTAAGAGTTTTGACTCAGGTGATACATGTAGACCTTTATTTAGTGAAGACAAGGTATTGGTCATCTGTCTAGTGGTCAGTTAAAGGACCAGATGGACCTCTGGTCACAGCCAGGAGAACATTTTGCATTATGATACCACAATTATAATACATCTGATAAAAATATATATTTCTTTTCTTTGGAGTCTTTATTTTCCTTTGCACATTCTGTTAACAAGAACAATTTGTGTAAGAATAAACATGAAATTTGATATGGCAGGGAGATGAAAATTATGTCTAGAACTGCAAAACTTAACTATGTAGAAACCAAGCATTATAATTCATGGTATTAATTTCCATTAGCACTTCTTGCTGGTATTGCTTCATACATTTATTAGTTTCAACACAACAGCTTTAGTGCTGATGCTGCACAGCTGAATACAACAATTATGGATAAAAGATGTACGTAATGCCCTAATTATTGTTTCAGTCTCTTGGATGATGGATGGCTTTCCTCTAGACTGTCATTGATCATTTTTCATTATGTCTCCCTTGCTTCTTTTGAATGAATTTTATGAACATGACTTGCCACTATGAGCCTTCATGTAAAATTAAGAATATTCCACATTTTGTTCATTTGATCTTGGACATAATAACGATAAAATAAAGTCAAAATGTTTTAATTAATTTTAATTAATTTGAAAAAGAACTTGCTTTTTTTGATAAGTAGAAAGGAATAATATTTCTACATATACCTTTCGGTATATTTCTAAAGTGAAAAACATAATTTTGACAATCTTTTCAGGATTATTCTCATGGATGATGCCTTGGACTGCTTGATCTCTTTCACTGATTTCCTCTATGCATTCCAAGTGCAGTTCTATTATGAAGGTAAGGAAGAGAAACTCTCTTTCTCTATCTATCTCTGTCTCTCTCTGTCTCTCTCACACACACACACACACACACACACACACACACACATTAACGAATATATAAGCACACCAAAGATTAAGTCACAGATGAAAGTCTAGATGTTTCATTTTATGTGTTTTAATTTTATTTTCACCTATCGTTACTCAAGCACTTTGTACCTTACATCCAGGTGTAAGTCTTTCTATGTTCTTTATCTTTATCCCTGAGACATATGGAACTAGCTTTAATTCACCTATCCTCAAAATAGCAAATTTCCCATCAAGACCAATATAGTATTACTGATTTCACCTGATTTTCTCTGGTTTATCTTCCTGCTCTGAGTATAAAACACACTAAGCTTAGGAGGAAAAAAAACAGGAATGAAGGTTAGATTCTCCATTTGTTGAAAATTTGGTGATGTTTGAAATGGGCTGGTATCAGATCCAATAAAATTCAACCAGTTTCACCTGGGTTTTTGCAGAGGCAGATCAGTATAAGATTAAGTGTTTCTATATAAAGCATGCGTTAAGAGCAAAGGCTGATATGTGATGTTTTTTCATGTCCAAGGCACATATAGTCACAAAGCACTTTTGTAGTGAAAGGAGATAGCTGGGATTCTTGTGGTGGTGTATTTTTGTTGGTAATATTTTTATTTCAGGTGATAATTGCCTCTTAGACCCAATATTTGTTTTTGCTCATGGCGTGTAATCATTGCAAAATTAAATCACGACGGTAATATCAATAAGTGTTACATTCATAACCAGAAATGAGCCAGAGCTCAGTTTTCCACTTTGCTTTTTAAGAACAGTGGGAGATTGTTACACTTTTTTGAAAATGCTGAAACAAATATTTTAAGATTGATGGTGAAGAGGGCATGGAACAACAAAGGACCTATTTACTACAGAATAGTAAACAACCCACAACCTTGTAATGTTGTTTTTAACATGATGAACAGGATCAACAAGCTCCTCCTAGTTGTACATTGTATTTTGGAGAGACAAAGATTAATATTTACAAAAAGAAAAAAAGCAGAAGTTTTGTGTGTAGTCCGAAATGAAAGCAATGAATGTCATTATTCATATGATGAAGTATTTCTGATCACATAAGTTCTATTTTGTGAACTTGCTATTTTGTCAAATATTTATCCAAAGGCTGTTTGATTTTAATTAGCTTTGTAGAGTCCTACTTTCTGAAAAAAATGATAATTCTTAAGACTTTGGACCATCTTCACTGTAAAAGATAATAACATTTCATGAATTTTATTATGCGATCACCATTTCACACTGCATTACATCTTTTTTCAATTAAGATAAATGTGTCTCAATTTCAAGTTGATAGATCAGTCTTTGGGCATGTAACAACTGAGATATGACATATGATTCAGTGAAGCAAAGCAAAAAAAATGTTCAATCAGGAGGTGGATTTTGATGTTTCTTCCTGTAAGACTAGGGTATAATTACTTCTATGCCAGCCTGGGAAAAAAATTCAGGACAAAAAAAAAAAAAGAGTTCAAATGAGGACTTTCTGTTTACAGGAAGAAACAGGGAGTAGGTTGTTATTTTAATTGATAATATTGTACATTCCAAGCATTTTGTGCCCAGAGGTTAGAGTATCTTTCTTAAATGTTGAGCAAACTGGTGGACCTAATTTCCTTTTGGTATTTAAAGCATAAGGGAAAAAAGTATGAAAAAAGTTTTGATGTAAAAGACTGGAAGTTGNACTTAACTACGTAGAAACCAAGCATTATAATTCATGGTATTAATTTCCATTAGCACTTCTTGCTGGTATTGCTTCATGCATTTATTAGTTTCAACACAACAGCTTTAGTGCTGATGCTGCACAGCTGAATACAACAATTATGGATAAAAGATGTACGTAATGCCCTAATTATTGTTTCAGTCTCTTGGATGATGGATGGCTTTCCTCTAGACTGTCATTGATCATTTTTCATTATGTCTCCCTTGCTTCTTTTGAATGAATTTTATGAACATGACTTGCCACTATGAGCCTTCATGTAAAATTAAGAATATTCCACATTTTGTTCATTTGATCTTGGACATAATAACGATAAAATAAAGTCAAAATGTTTTAATTAATTTTAATTAATTTGAAAAAGAACTTGCTTTTTTTGATAAGTAGAAAGGAATAATATTTCTACATATACCTTTCAGTATATTTCTAAAGTGAAAAACATAATTTTGATAATCTTTTCAGGATTATTCTCATGGATGATGCCTTGGACTGCTTGATCTCTTTCACTGATTTCCTCTATGCATTCCAAGTGCAGTTCTATTATGCAGGTAAGGAAGAGAAACTCTCTCTCTCTATATATATATATATCTCTGTCTCTCTCTCTCTCTCTCTCTCTCTCACACACACACACACACACACACACACACACACACACACACACACACACTAACGAATATATAAGCACACCAAAGATTAAGTCACAGATGAAAGTCTAGATGTTTCATTTATGTGTTTTAATTTTATTTTCACCTATCTTTGCTCAAGCACTTACATCCAGGTGTAAGTCTTTCTGTGTTCTTTATCTTTATCCCTGAGACATATGGAACTAGCTTTAATTCACCTATCCTCAAAATAGCAAATTTCCCATCAAGACCAATATAGTATTACTGATTTCACCTGATTTTCTCTGGTTTATCTTCCTGCTCTGAGTATAAAACACACTAAGCTTAGGAGGAAAAAAAACAGGAATGAAGGTTAGATTCTCCATTTGTTGAAAATTTGGTGATGTTTGAAATGGGCTGGTATCAGATCCAATAAAATTCAACCAGTTTCACCTGGGTTTTTGCAGAGGCAGATCAGTATAAGATTAAGTGTTTCTATATAAAGCATGCGTTAAGAGCAAAGGCTGATATGTGATGTTTTTTCATGTCCAAGGCACATATAGTCACAAAGCACTTTTGTAGTGAAAGGAGATAGCTGGGATTCTTGTGGTGGTGTATTTTTGTTGGTAATATTTTTATTTCAGGTGATAATTGCCTCTTAGACCCAATATTTGTTTTTGCTCATGGCGTGTAATCATTGCAAAATTAAATCACGGCGGTAATATCAATAAGTGTTACATTCATAACCAGAAATGAGCCAGAGCTCAGTTTTCCACTCTGCTTTTTAAGAACAGTGGGAGATTGTTACACTTTTTTGAAAATGCTGAAACAAATATTTTAAGATTGATGGTGAAGAGGGCATGGAACAACAAAGGACCTATTTACTACAGAATAGTAAACAACCCACAACCTTGTAATGTTGTTTTTAACATGATGAACAGGATCAACAAGCTCCTCCTAGTTGTACATTGTATTTTGGAGAGACAAAGATTAATATTTACAAAAAGAAAAAAAGCAGAAGTTTTGTGTGTAGTCCGAAATGAAAGCAATGAATGTCATTATTCATATGATGAAATATTTCTGATCACATAAGTTCTTTTTTGTGAACTGGCTATTTTGTCAAATATTTATCCAAAGGCTGTTTGATTTTAATTAGCTTTGTAGAGTCCTACTTTCTGAAAAAAAAAATGATAGTTCTTAAGACTTTGGACCATCATCACTGAAAAAGATAATAACATTTCATGATTTTTATTATGCGATCACCATTTCACAATGCATTACATCTTTTTTCAATTAAGATGAATGTGTCTCAATTTCAAGTTGATAGATCAGTCTTTGGGCATGTAACAACTGAGATATGACATATGATTCAAATATGATTCAAAGCAAAAAAAAAAGTTCAATCAGGAGGTGGATTTTGATGTTTCTTCCTGTAAGACTAGGGTATAATTACTTCTATGCCAGCCTGGGAAAAAAATTCAGGACAAAAAAAAAAAAAAAGAGTTCAAATGAGGACTTTCTGTTTACAGGAAGAAACAGGGAGTAGGTTGTTATTTTAATTGATAATATTGTACATTCCAAGCATTTTGTGCCCAGAGGTTAGAGTATCTTTCTTAAAAATGTTGAGCAAACTGGTGGACCTAATTTCCTTTTGGTATTTAAAGCATAAGGGAAAAAAGTATGAAAAAAGTTTTAATGTAAAAGACTGGAAGTTATGCATTGTAGCAGTTTTCTTTAGAAAATGCTTTAACATACATTGCAAAATAAATTAAAACATACAAGTGCTACATGTGCAGAATATTGTGAAAATAAAATGATGATATTAATTATTATTATAATTGGTATAAGTTTCCTAAATGCAAGTGCCGAGAACAGCTATTGAAGAATTTCAGATGGAGGGATAGTGGCACACAATAGTGATAGTGACAAAAAATGTATCAATTCAGGGGTGGATTTAGGCCGTCTTCTGGGTCTTCCAGAAGACGATCAGATTTTCAAGTTTTCATTGATGGTTATCTAATGTTTCCTGTCAGAAGACGGTCAAAATGGAGGATGGATCAACAAAGATAATTTGGAAGACTGTCAAAAAATATTTCTGGATCCGCCCCTGCAATTGCCAATGATATAAAAGGTTTTCCTCATACCAAAAGATAAATGAAAAAAAAATGTCCTTTCAACTTTTATTATTTTATTTTATTTGTTTATATACTTGATAATTCATTTATTTAAAGAATTCCTTGAGAAATGCACAGAGGTGTACAAAGCCTTGCTGTCTGCGGGGAGCCCCAGGGAGACAGTGGTTGTCCCCACATCTGATGAGGAGGAAAGTAAAAGTAACCCACACCAGCTCAGTAACGGTCACCACACGTCCAGTGATGGAGTGGACTCTATGCAGTTTTATAGGGCTCTGGTCAGCCTTTCACATGAATTCACTCTCAGGTCAGTATGATAAAGCATGGACGTGTACAGTGATAACAAATCAGGTTTTGGCCGTTGGCTAGAATTAATTTTGGCCTGGGAAAGTATGAAAAAGTACCTATTTGCTCTTTTACTGATTTGCTATTGATTTGTCTGGTCGTTTGGTTTGGATGAACAGTTTTGACTGATTGGCTTAAGCATGGGCCCTGGCTGTTTGATCTTCAAACAGAATTTCACTTGAATTCACCATCAGGTCAATCATGTCTTACAGAGGAGCACTTAAAAGTTCCGAGATAACCAGACACTCAGGTCAGTTTTGATTGGGAGTCTACCTCAGGGCTATTTCTTTATGGAACATGGAGCAATTATTTGGACGATTTCACCTTCTTCTGATAACAAACTTAGTTCACAGTGGTACAGAGACTTGTACTTAAGTGCTACATGGACCCTCTTCTCTCCCTGCTTTCAAAATAGCTCGTTTGGACATCTTTACATCTTGCACTAATCCTCTTAAGAAATACAGCTGAGTACTTTCTTAGGATGCTTAGCTATGCCTTACCCAGGGATTTACTGCAAACAATGGTCTGCATAAAGCACGCACAAAATGATAAATTGTAGAAAGTTTTTACTGTTTAATTGCAGATTTGTTTAATGCAAAGAAAATTGAGATGAATAAATACATATTATCACTTAAGCTTCATATTTTTTTCTGTTTCCAGTTTTCCCCCTCTGCCCATTCTAAAGGAGCTGTTGTCAGTTGCTCCCCGTGTGTCTTTCTATGGATTCCTCATGGCCATTGCCAAGTGTGAGAAGATCAATGCATTCATAGGTATGTGTGTGTATGTATATATATATATATATATATATATATATATAACCATGTCTATAACAGTTTGTTCAGAAAAGGACCATAATAGACCAGAAATCTGAGTAAATTCAGATGACCAGGGGTCTGTTTCACCAAAATAGCTTTACCTCGAAAAGGGGTGTACATTTTTACACTTAAAAAGTTGTTCTATTTCACTTATTTATAAAGTGGTTTGAAATATAAGCCATAAGGTTCTTGGTTTAAAGATTGGTGCACTATTTCATTTTTTTTTAAAATTATTACTGAAATCTTCAGTCAAGGTAAACTGAAAATTTGGTCTGAAAGCTAAACCCTAATTTTGGATTGAATTATTTTGTAAAACAGACCACTACAACTATTTTTTTAAATCCCTTAATGGTTAGTCATCTGTTGATGATACAAATTGAATAGCTGCTTTTTGGTTCGATGTGGCCATATCTGAACAGGCCATCAAGTCTCTTAGAACAGTGATGATATAAGGCTTTGTTCACATGGAAAGTCTATTTTCTAAAAATCTATTTTCTATTCGCGGTATATTTTGTGATCACGGTCTGTGCCCTGAATATCCCGCGGCGATCATAAGATACCACGAATAGAAAATAGATTTTTAGAAAATAGACTTTCCATGTGAACGAAGCCTTAGTGTGTTGTCAAATGAAGAGTAACTGTGTATCATTTGTGCATGTGGATGTTTAACCAGTTCTTTGCTAACATAATTGTTTGTAATGAGTATTACCTGTTTAAATGTTGATTTTGCTGTTTGCACTATCTGTACATGTATGCTGATCAAGCTGACTATATTGATAATTTTGTGTGATTGGGTATATATTTCAATTTATGTCTTGTGCATATTGGTGTCACTCTGTATTATGTCACTACATGTAGGACACAGATTGCTCTGTAAAGATGAACAGGAAGTAAATACACTAGAACATAAAAAAACTGTCAGATATTCAACTTTTAGAAAGTAAATGTTGATATACATGTTTTGTAATAAGAAATCCCAATAGTAGTTTTATTTTAAAATCAGGGCTGTCAAGCCTGTAGAACATACCGAAAAGGAGTGACTTTCCATATAAAAACATCTCAAAAAGTCAAATAGAATAAGCATTGAAAATGCCACCTAATGTAATTAGATATCCCTAAATTCTGAAGATGTAGCAAATCAGTACGTTTTAAGTGTTGTGAGTACATAAGCGGTGCCATTCACTTCATTGAACGTAAACTGCATGGAGATGTGAGATTACAATCATTTCTATTGATAGATATGTGGAATGCTGTCTTCTCACTCTCAGGTGGCTAGCACCTGAAATACTGACAAATGTTGGCTAATCGAACATCACTTAATATATCAAATTTCAATGGCTTTTAATTGCCTACTTGAAATGGTTTTACTGTATTCCTTTCCTCTTTGAACGGACTAGCACTACCTCAGTGATAGAATCAATCTTGTGCCTTTGCCAAAACACCTGACACCCCCCCCCCCCCATTCTTTTCTTAAGTCAACAAATTATGGCACAACAGAAAAATTACAATTGCTGAAATTAAAAAATTATATATATTTAAAAAACTACTACATGTTGCCATTAACTACTAAGTGGTAACCTGGACATGGTGCCCTGCCTGCCCTAGATACACCAGTCTTAAAGCAATGGGAGTTACTGTAGATAAAAGTGCCATTAAGACAGGTGGTTATCTGCTCCACAAATCATTGGTCATGTTCTTGTCACTGGCTGGATCAGCTTGGACATTCTAGATATTTTTTGCAAGACTTAATAAAAACTTGCACCCTTAGTGATTTTTTTCCTGAATGTTACTTTTAATGTAGTTTATTGATTTCAGACACATGAAAGAAAATGTGCATGATATATATGTTCCATTAAAACTTCAAAACAAGTCTGACATTACACCTATGATCTGGAGGATGAATGACAGGAATTAAACACCTGCAAGCTAAATTGAGGATAAATGTTACATTAATCAGAATAGATGATCTAATCTAATGAAATAGTTTCCATTAGAAATTAAGTTGTGTGGTTTAAACCAAGATAGCTGTCTTTCAATTGTTAGAATGTTGATCTCGTGTCAGATAGTGGAGTTGATGCTGTCAGTTTTCATTCCTGTCTCCTGGTGACAAGCCAGATGGTCACTGAAGTCAAATTTACACAGAGTGGAATGGATCACATTTTAACCAACTTAGGATTATGTTATCAAACGAGGAACTAAAAGTTTTATAAGAAGATAAGAGGTAGGCAGAAATAATCTGCGACTCTTCACCTGGACCCATTTCAATAAAACTGACAAATTTGTGAACCAGCCTGGAAAGCTATGGGTTCAGTTACCTGTGTGTAAATGGGCCTGCAGGGATACACCAGGTAATGCCTTCTGTCAGGTTCAGACCAAAGTTGACTTGGGGATAGAGCATGCCTACTGCAATAAAGTGCTTATAAGATTTTTATCTTGACATGTAAATATAGATGTCTAATGTTTATTGAAAATTATTTGTTATTTGGTTATTAATTTAACTCATCCAAGGTATTTTTTCATCAGATGTGTCTTTGCTAGTAAACTTGAACAAAAATTTCTTTTTTTATGTTTTTGGCAATTATATATTATAATGAAAAGCCATTTAAGTGAAATATTTTGAATAGTTAATCAGGATGAATTTGATTACTAAGATCGAACTTTGAGATTAGTTTAGGATTTTCACACCAAATCTTATTTCCTCTGGAAAAAAATATTTCTCCTTCACCTGTCTCTGCACTTAGGTTGGATGTTTTGTGCATAAACTTTTTCCTTTCAAAAAACTTGAACTAATGTCTCAAAGGCATTCTGCATGTTTTTTAAGTAAAGAAATTGTGATTCCTGCTCAAATATTGCCATTTTGCACTGGAAGTGAAAGTCAACTTGTTCAGTTGTTTGTGTCTTGTCAACTAGCTTTAAGTCCTGATAAACTTGATGACTGCAAGCTAATATGATAACTTGTTTTGAGAAACAAATGGCAACAACTGCTTAGTCTCAATTGGGGGAGTCTCATTTTACACATAATTGAATTTTCCAAATGAAAATATCCTGTGTTTTAGGCAATCAGTGTTTAGTGAAATGAAAATATTTTTGATTGCTAAGTAAATGTGGAAGTTGAGGTAAAACAAGTGGATTTCTTAGTGCAGTACATGTTAGGTTCTTAAGATAGGGCAACTCAGGTCAGGTTATTCCCTTACAGTTTTATCATATTAATCTTTGGTATGAATATGATTTTAAAGGATGGTAAACCAGGTATTATTGTTTTGATATCTTCAAGCAGGATTACTCCCCTGTCTTTAGGGGTCATATCTCCAGTGAAGCATTATTGGTGGTTGGTTGTACAGATCACTTGATTGTGCTGGCTTCTCTACCACAATGCCCCTTTTGCAGCCCATCTTCTGCTTGACACATTTGGGTGCTGCCTTTATGACATCACAGTTTTCCTTATTTTATTTTCAAAATTCAAACAAACTTAGTGAGAACTTGGAGTATGCCAGTGACAGTTTGTGTTGTGGTGACTTGTGTTATGCATGGATTTTGCTTGAATGTGATTTGTTTTAAATTTTCATTTTTACATTTTCACCACCCACGCTCATTGTACTGAAATATAAGATGTTTTATTAAGTTGAAAATGTTAAACCCTGTAATTGCATGTTATAAATTCTTTTTTTATTAATTGTGTGGATATTTTGCATGATATATGTCTAACTTAATGCTTTGCATCTTTTTAAACACATTTGTTGCATGTCATTATTTATATTTTTAAGATTACCTTATTTAATTATTCAGAAGTTTCATTTTGATATTTCAGTTTAATTTGTAAACTTTTAAAGCATGATTAACTTCATATTACTCTATTAAAACTGATTTATGCTTCCTTTTTTGGGGGCACACTCATTAGTACCTGTTAGAATAGATTTCATATACCAAAACGTGTTAATTTGTACAAATGTTTAGTTGTGGCAAAACAACATATAATGTAAATGTACACAAATGAATAGATTTGGCCTAGCTGTCCCTTCCTTGATTAAACACATATATAGATGATACATTAAAAAATGAACTACGCATGACTTAGTGCTACTTTCATAACATTACATTTAGACAAACTTACATTTCGACAATGACTTTGATGATAGTTTTTTTTATAATGTTGAAATTAATCAGTGCTCTAACCAGTGCATGACAGCTTGTTTTGCTGCTGTTTGAAGGTGTTCTTCCTGATAAACAAAACTTATACATCGAGTTTGAGGAGCCTGTACAGTAAGTGACTGATGTCCTACTGCTTCTAGGAGTATCTTAGATCATTCTTGGAGTAATCTCAGACTGAGCAAACGCAGCACGTGTGACGTGTGCTAGAGCATGTGTGTCGCTTGTGACTTGTACTGTAATGCACAGCACAAATGTTTAGCTCTGTACACAGCTATCACAGCTAATGTGTGCCACAACAATATTCACGTTTTACTTATAGTGCTGTACATTTTGAATAGAATTAGGTGTGTCGTCATTTAGCAGTTTTGCTAAAAAAAGTGAAATATGTTTGATATTTGATTGCTATCTAGTCAGAGTTATTATTGTCATTGTTTTATATTTGATTTACTTTATTGCTTATTTTCATTTATTTTTCTTATTTGCAATTTAATATTTTTTTTTATTGAATAATTTCAGTATAAGAATGTACATATACCAAAATATGGTAAATGCAGACTCACTCTCCTCTTACACACACTCTCTCTCACACACACGCATTATAAGATTATAATCTCGTGAACAATAGGTGTAATAATAATAATAATAATAATAATAATAATAATAATAATAAAGATCGATACCACAATGTATTCAACCAAAACTACAATAGATTATTAAACAAGAAAAAAGTGCAATATATTATTTTGCTGAAGCTAATTAATATGCAATTTAATATTAACTAAATCTTTAATAGGACAAAATACTATTTTGACACTGATAATGTCAGTAATACTTCCACAGGTCAGGTTGCTGCTGGAATGTTTATCTTGAATGTGTGCGCCTTCATGATGCTGACATTTCAAATATATTCTGACACAAGTTTATTTGTTCTTTTATTATCATGTTGAAATGCCTATCTTGATTATTTTTTAGATTATTTTTGTTGTTGGCATATATGAATTGTAAAAAATGAACAAAAAATGAATATTAGTTGGTTTTACACATTGTTTATACTGATACCTGCACTTAGAAAATAGTTTACAAACCTGCAATGTTACTATGTTTGCTGTAGTTTACTGCTGTTTATTTTTCTATCACACTTGGTATGGGATTTTTACCCCCAATAGTCCTTTTTTCTTTTCTTTTTTTTTTATGTTCTTGTTGTATGCATTTTATACCCCTTTGGATGTGTGATTTGAAAAGGGAAGTATTTGAACAAGCTTTGTAAAATTTGTCTACAAATTTGAACTATAAATGTATTGGGGTACATTTTGCATTCATCATATTCGATGTAAGATAAAAGTAAATGAGCTTATATTTGTACACTTTTCAATTCAAGCTCATGACAGGAATGGGTTAACTTTAACTGTTTTATAGTTCTATGATATTTAATTTGTATTATTATTTATTTAATTTAGAATATTTCATTTATTTACTTCAGAGGTGGTCTAAGATAACCCATTCTTGTTTATGACTGAAGATTGAGAACCAGCATATCTTGCTAACTGCTTTTGACAAAAAATAAGAGAACTCTGCCCTTGCATATTAGTCACCAAATATATATATATATCAGTGATATTGGTAAACTAACCTACTCTAATTTTTCTAAATTAGAATTTTTATTTTGTTTGTTTTGCTTTACCTTCTTTACATCCATTACCCCTGACTTTTAAACAAGTTAGGATCTGAAAAATGATCGTGTTAGATTTTATCTCACTTATCATCATCTTGTTCATATTTTGACATATTTCTATGAATTTTCAGGGAAGCTCCCGTCGAAGTCCGAACTCCTCGCAGTTCCAGATCAAGATCTCACCATGTAAGCACTTCCAGGAGTTCCCCTTCTGGTGCAAGGGTTAGAAGCCCAAGAGGGAAATCCAAATTTAACTTATAGTGAATATTGAATATTGTCTTCTTATGTTTTTTCTATCTCAAATGTAGTGATACTAACAATCCTTGAATAACTACCTCAGAAATTTTATGCAACACTAAATGTTGAACATTGTCTCGTAAATATATTTTTCATTTTTACTAAATGTATATTTGGGCAGAATTTTTTGTTCTTGCAAATTATAGATATATCCTTTGGCAAAGATATGTGGTTAAGTATAAAACAGATTATGTGAAAGTGGATTTGCAATACATAAAAAGAAGTTTGGACGTTAGGATTATGACAACCCATATGCTCTTCTTGTGTTGATATTATTGACAAAAATTTATGTTAGGTTTGCAATGTGTGATATTAGTCTTACTGAGATAAAAAAAAAATAGGGACACAGTGTTATATATTATCTTCCTTGTGCTATCTCTAGTCAAGCTATCCCAGCACCTCCAGCTCAGGTGACCAGTCCTGTGAGTGAGACATGGACTAGAATGGACGACCAGTCCACACCATGGTCTTTTTGTCTTTTTACTTCATGTAGTTACTGGTAGTTAGTGTGAATATTAGCTTATGTCATCAGGTAGCTTTTTTTTGGGTCTATTGTTTTTTAGTTTTTTTGGGTATATTTTTCAGTTTTGTTTTTGGTTTTTAATTTTTACGTACAGACAGTTTTGGTTGTACATACGGCCACCACTGGAGGCTATTCATGTTGCCAAAGCAATCACTGCAGCAGTAACCATGCACATTATTTTGCAAAGAATATAAGTTGTAAACAGTCATCATATTCCTCAAATTTTGCATTAAATTTGTGGACCAGAAAATGTCTGTAAATTGAGCAGTTTTGGCTGCCTTTTTATGTATGTACAACCCTGTGTTACAGTAGTGGTCATCTTTGGTTCAAATTCTCAAACACAGGGAAAATATTATCAAATTTAAAAATCAGGGAAAATCTGCTAAAAACTTGTTTGCCAGTTTCTTTTTCTAAAAGAAAGCATTATTTTTTATTTTGTTATTAGAAAATCTTTCACTGCTAGTTTTGTAGCTATTGTAGGATTGATTCATTAGTTAAGTAGATGATCCTAGGCAAGATTTTGAAACAATCTGCTTTCATATTGAAATTTAGATGTGTTTTGATATTAATGACAATAGGCTCATATCTTTATTCCATGAGGGGGTAATTTTTTATTCACAATTACAATTTGGCTCAAATGCTGAATCTCAAAATATCAAAATCATAGATGTATCAGTGATAACTTAAAGTGTAAGTATGCCATGCCATCAGAATACCTCAAAAGTCAAATTTTATTTTGAGTCAGAATTGATTGCAGATTTGCTCTTTCTTTTCAGTCCACCCATTAGACCTAGTACTGCCAGTAGAGTTGCTAATAGACCCCCTTCAGGGACAGCAAGACCTGTGTCCTCCACTAGTGATGCTGGCAAACCTCAGCCAACAGATAACAAAGTGCCAAAGTCTGCCCACTCAAAACGCTCCAAAGCTAAACCAACCCCAAAGCCAGTGCAACTAGAGCCGAGTGATGCTAGTGGAGCTTCCTCTAGTGGGGAGACTGATTCTGGGTCAGGGTCTTCTACAAACTAGTAGCGGTCTCAGTTGGTTAGCCAGAGTTTCAGACCTGATTCAAACCAGCTTCTTCATTTTTAGACTTGTAACACTAGCCTGCTTCTCTGAGCAGCTTGAGTGGATTGGGATTTGAAAATGAACAAGCAGGCATGCGTCATATTTGAAGCTCAGGGTAGATATGGCCAATTTGCAGTTGCTTTTGTACATATTACCTGCTTAATTCCTCTGAACAAATGGTTGCAAAACCAAGGATTTACTTTATGAGTGGAGAAAGATCTTTTAGAATTTTAGTCACCAACACAAGGTTTTTTTTTTTTTTTTGCAAGACTTTCTTTAGGTCATACCATTGGGAGATAAATGTGATATTTATGACTAAGGTCACAAGAGGGTTGCTAAATGATTTTTTCTCTAACAGCATTATAAGAATACTTGGGCTGCATTGAGTGTGACCTCATTTTAATTTATTCAGAATATGAAGAGATTCATGTACAGTCTTATTATTTTTTGCATGCATTTAATGTAGATTTGTAACCAGTACCATTTACCATGTTTTTAAGTGAGGAAAAATGAAGAGACTGATGTTAACAGAAACATTTTATTCATTATCATGAACTCAAGCAAATAACTTTGCACTATATGGAAGCTTTTTGCGACCATAATTTCAATTATTTAAATAAAACAAGCTGTGATGCTTCAAGCCTATATGCACACTAATCATTCTGATAAGTTTCATTGCCACATGCAAATAATTAAAATATTAATTATAGTAATCCTAATCCTTCTACAAGCGTAAACTGAAATGGACTGAAAACTCAACGAATGGAACAAATTACATTTTACCATCTAACATACACAAATTTGAATTCTATCTACATTTTAAAACGTTGAAACACTTACTCTTTTCTACTAATACAAAAACTTCCAGCACCATGAGATTATCAAAACATTTTTTAAAAAAAGTTGTGGGAATGTTGGGATATTCTGAACGGTAGCCACACTTCACAAACTCAATAGTACTCAAAAAGTTCCTTTTAAACATGAATGTTGAAAGCTCAGTTGGCAAACCTTTCCACCCTGAAAAATAAACTTGGGTCACATAACAAAAACATGAATATATAGGTTATAACTGCTTTTGTAAGGAAATAAGAGTAACAAATGGTGAAACAAAGCCCTGAACTGTTCAAATTGTCTGTTTATAATGCTGACATACTGTTTATTGATTTCAATAGCAATTTAACTCACTTTCCTGGACTTCTGTCCCAACACCTATTGCTTCCCAGTGTATCCTATAATAAACATACTTTTGTTCCTTGTCCTTTCTGGATTTTCTGCCTATGATTGTTTCATGATCATCATATCAAAATTGTTAACTCTTTATAATCCTTTACTCTCTCTAATATCTTTTATAACAAAAATCCACTAAATACAGAGATGAACATACTATCCGAAAATGAAAAATACCTTGGGTGGAAAAAAAAATAGTATGAACATACCTTTCCAAAATAAAAACTACTTTGAGTGAAAAACCAATAATGCCCCAAGTTGAATACTGCATAAAAATGCATTGAAATTGTTTCTTTGCAATGTTACTTTCCGTAACCTTAATTTTTTCAATGTACCATCATTTTAATTGGCACAGATTTTCACGTACATGATTTGCAATGACGTAACATAAAAAGCCAATTACTGCTTACATCTTACTGTCTGAAACCTTAATACACAATCTGAATAGATTCCAGGTAAAGAGTCTTGTCTAACATGTTATACACTTTGTATACCGGACTCCTACAAAAAAAAGCCATTTGTCTGGACTTGCTTAGATCAATATACTCTCCTGTGCCTAGTGAGTATCACATCTCTTCAGACCAAGCCTCGCTATCACTGGTTTGCGTGGACGAGTTCTGCCTGGGTCTAGCCGTCTGCGTCGCTGTGCTGATAGTCCGCGGCACCTGATACCCAAGCATGTGCATTATGTTACGATGGATGTTACTGTTCACTTCCCCCTCCTCCCCTGGTGCAGACCTGAGCTTCCCTGGGGTACAGATACACAGATCACCCCGGTTGGTCCCATACACCAGTCCTGCCCCAACAGTGGGCAGCCAGCCTGCTGAGTTGACGCTGACATGTGTGGGGATCTCTCCAGCACAGGGGTGGGTTATGTCCATTACATGCTGAAATTATGAACAATACTACCAATGTTATCACAGGAAACTCAATGACGATGTAATGTTGCCTATGTAAAATACATTGAGAGGTTCATGTAATATTATTATAACTGGGACACCTAAATTATTTAACCAAACTTTCAAATAATTTGATTAAATAATAAGTTTCTAAAATGCAACTTGGCCATGCAATCACCACTATGACAATGTAGTGATTATTGATTCACATGGTGACATCTTTTAACAGTATCTAAAAGGAAAAAGTTTTAGAGGCATTTATGAGAGCCTGAACTGACTTTTAGAATCACTTTTTAATCAGTGAAAAAGAGGAAAAATTTTAAATATTTTTATAATGACTACTCAAACAATGAAGAACAAATGGATAAAAAAGAACCTGAACTTGACTATAAAGAAAGAAAACAAGACATATAGTTACCTTCATAGAGGATTCACCACCCAAAGGCTGGACCAGCTTAAACACCTGTGCTACAACCTGAAATAACAAGCCATGGCCAAATGTGAATGACATAACAGGATGATATTCTTTCCACCCGCTCATTCATATGCTAGTATCTCAGTCACATGACACATAAGGTATGTTATGATTGCTAGATGTAAATGTGATTGTTGGTTCCTTATTTCTAAGTACTGGGCGCGAGTTTGACGTTGAATTGAAATAGATCTTGTATTTGGAGTGTTTGATGTTGATGAGTGGGTGTTGTGAAAGAGGTGTTTTTTTTATGTATTTTTTCCGACTAAAACCACTTTGTATGCCCGTTTAAATGTCCAATAGTATGAAGTAGATGGAACAAGTTTCTTTCCTTTAAATATTTTTTGTCTGATTCTCTCAGACTCAAGCTTAATGGATGAGTGCCTGGTGGAATAGTGTGGGTTCACAAAAGCATGTTTAACAAGTAGATCTCAGTTTTAAGCATTTACCTGTTTTTCTGTGAAGACCCATGCTAAACGTTTTGCTGCCAACCCAACCAGTATGTAGTTGTTAAGTGGAGAGACACTGACAGAGATTGCATTGGGACCTGAAATAAAATTTAAAAATTAACTGATGATACAGTTAACACTTCAATGTGCAGTGAAGAAAATGATAATGTAAAATTCATTGGATTTCATAACACCACTTTTTTATAACTGTTACAATACAAATGCACTGGATTATGAAATTGTTTGCCCTATGTTAGTAAATGAAAAGTTTATTTAAAGGGGGCCTTACCAAAACTTTTGGTAAACACACACTGTCCAAGATTGTCCTGCTGCAGGGAGAACACCCCCAATATGGTATCATCTGGGAATCCTCTGTGGCTACCTACAAATGTGGCCAGGTAGCGGCCATCTTGGGACAAGCCACAGCTGGCATCATTGTGCAGCTTGCAATTGGGAACTACTATGTTGGCATTGGCTGGAAAAGGTCACAGAGTTAAAAGCTATGTCACCTCTCTCAAGTTGAGCAAAAATCAATCCCTACTCATATTTGTTTAATCTGGATCTCACCCAACGACCCCTTTCTGACACCAGAATCTAAGAATCTTTTGGCCTTACACAGAATCACTGACTAGTAACCAAACTAATTTACCAATTCTATTGGTTCGGCTTCAATTTTACTGACAGCCAGAAGTTAATATGACACACCCGAGTGTGACCTGAACTTACCATCCATAATATCTGGTACTGGATTGTCTCTGAGATCCCACTGCTGTATCCTGTGAGTAATGTTCACAATGTTGTTGGCCACTGCAGCCTCACCACTGCCCATAAACACACCTGCAATGAGAGAAAAACAAAATGTTATCATGAAAGATAAAACAAGGCAGGCTAAGTTGCATGACTATATAAAGTATTGGGGAAAACAGTTCCCGTTTCATTTGCATGCTACTGATATCAGATGTTTGCTTTCTCAAATGCAGATATTTGACCCACATGAATGGGAGGGAAATAAAGACTGGAGTTCAATTTTCAGAGAACACAGTTAGTCGAGTAGACTCCATTAACTTAGATATTTTGGATAAAAAAATTTGTCCCAAACAATTAAAAGAATTCAAGTTAAGCAATTTTAATATTAATTTCATCCAATACCAAAGAATAAATCTGAAATGATAACTGCAGTAATAAGGTGATGAGATATGTACAGTATACTATATCTAAAACTGGCAGTGGCAATGCAACTGATATTTTTCTCTCACTTGCTATAGTCCTATTAATAGCAGTCTGGAAGGCATCATTTGGCTGGTTGATAGCCTCATCCAGAATGTTAACAGAATAGTGTGGATGCAGGTAACGTCGCTGTAGTGTCCTCCAGGCTTGCTGCTGTCTTCTTTCATTCTCAGTTCTCAACCTAGAACATAATACACTATTTATAAACAGCAACATGTTAACAAGGTGACAAATCACAAGTGGTTTTCATCAACTGGATATAAATCAAAGACCTTTATTTGTATGTCTAACATGGCTCTCTTCAACCCAAAATAAATTTTTAAAAAATCAATTCAATATAAAAAACTTTCATTTGTACCTGTCTAGTTCCCTGCGCCTGGCTTCCCACCTATTCCAGCGACCACGCTCTCTTGCATTCTCTACCAAGCTGCGATGACTTTCTAATCCTAGATAAAGAACACAGGGTTAAATTTAGATAAAATCTTAAGCAAAGCACAACTTGACTTTAATCATACCTTTTAAAAAATATCTACGGCCACATAAGACAATGAGGAGACCTTTTTTTCGTACACTTCTGCATATGAATGGAAAAAATCATGACATAATCCATATTAATTTGCTTTTTTCTTTCTCTAAATAAATCGACTTTATTTTCCCACAGAAAGCCACACTTACCAGAGTTACTGTGGTATGTTCTGTGAAGCGGACACAGCCTCCGCCTCTCTGTCATCCTCTGTTCCTGTCTGCTACCACTACCACCACCACCACCGCGGATATCATCCAGATAGTTCCGCAGTCTGTCTTGTCTTTGACGGTGCGTTTCTCTCATGGGGCGCCATGCTGATGGACTCTCCGAGCCACTACTGCTGTCTTGGGATGTGCTGCTTGTTTGAAGACTGCTGGAATCATGGCTACTGCTGCCTGCACTGGTGCTGGGCTGGTCTTCACTAGTACAGGGCAGATCTACACCAGCCCTGCTCAGAAAAGGGTCTTGCTCTCTAGCCCTACTATTCTGATTTCTACTACTTAGAGTGCAGTATCTGTTGGATCTAATATTATAATGCCTATTAGCATTGCTCTGCCAGTATCTACCACTGGTGCCCCCTACAGGAGGGTGTCCGCTTGTAACTGGTGGGTTCCCACCTGAGGAGCCGAGGCCAGTACCTGTATATGTTTGGCCTCTATTGCAGCTGTTTGAGAGATCAATAGTTGAATTTGCACTTGGATTGTCATTGCCACTACCACCTCTGATCAAATCACTGATAGATGCATTGCTGTTATTGCTGGTTGTGGTACTGTTGTTGTTGCTGCTAGTTGTGACACTACTATTGTTTTGACTATCAAGGTTGTAACATCCCTGGTTTCCTGAGTCCCTGGCAGGGGGACTGTTCTGGAAAGACAAGGACCTGCACCTAGCTGTACCAGAACTACTTGGACCTAGGTGTGAATACCTGCTGTATCGTGATCTGAATAGACTGTAAGCAGCACTCTGTGATGTGGACGCACTGCATGGATCTTGAGTGGAACTGGTGCTGTCAGGATGTTCCCTACTGGGGCTTCCCCCTTGTGAAGTGTCTGCTATAGTCTGTGCTGGTGGGCTTGTTAAAGTATGACTTGACTGACTATTTGAACCCGTATCAATAAGTGGCATTCTGTCTGTTAAATGTAAATCAGAACTGTCATTTCTCTTCTGATTATGAGCTCCACTTTCTGTTTGACTAGATGGCTGGTGACCTTCCTGGCTTGCAGTAACAACAATAGCTGGACAGCCAATGTCTGCTTCTGAGTTACTTTCACCCTCGTTTCTATGCTGAGATAAGTTTGAGTTTGAACTTAACAGAGGGTTACCAACTCTTCTTGCTGGTTGCTCTGGATCGCCAAAAGACAAATTCCTGATGGCACTTCTACTTGCCTGCAGGTTTTGTTGCCTGTCTGTTGATGAATCAGCAGGATGGCTTCCGGCCTCATCATCACTATCAACAGCATTAGGGGCTCCATCCACTCTGCCCAAAATGATATACCGTCTCTGCCTATTTACCCCAGCCCTGTGTTCTCCAATTTCCCTTCTTAATGCATCAACTACATTTAAGCGAGATCTTAGTATGGGGAGTGTATCACTACTTCCCTGGGCATGTCCTGCAGTGGATGGACCCCAGTCTGCTTCAGTTAATGGACTCCTCGGCCTGTTAAAGTGAAGGCCAAAACTGTCACCATCTCCACTAATGTGGCCATCATTAGAGACCCTCCTTAATCCCTCTCCTGTGTTGTCATTGTTCAGAAATGATCTTCTTTGAATATGTGTGCTGAACGCAGATCTCCTTCTCCACACGTTGTTTCCACTGCTGCTGGAGTTCTGTGTTGAAGCCCTAAGGCTACCTGGCCCGAAATCAAATAGCTGTCTCCGTCTCCATGGAGACTGAGCACCCTGAGTCGCTGCACTCGTCTCACCAGTTAGCTGGCTTGTTGTAGACAGCCTGCTTGTAGTAGAGGTTTGGTCTAGCAACACATTATCATCTACTTCAGTATTCTCTCTCATTTCTGCTGGTGGAAGATGGGGTCTTGGACTATCTCTGTAAGGCTGAGTTGGCCAGTTCAGGCTTTCAGAGCTTTGTGGCTGACTCCTGTTGTTGTTGTTGTTATTCTCTGTTCTGTGCTGCCACCCATTGTCCATACTGACAAGAGATGCATACTGCCTGGCCTCCTCTAAGGCTTGAATATGAGCTGGAGAGGTGGGGCGGGGGAGAGGAATCGGCTGATGCATCACTGGAAACAGACAATTATCATTTTGCAACATAATATTTAAAAATGTGGTTCTGAATGCATTTTGATTAGTGTAGAAACATTTCTTTACAGCTAATACCATGCTTTTAATATCTTATGATTTCAATGATAATGCTACCTCTTAAAAGTTTTTCAAATAATAAACAAACTAATATTACCCTACATTCAAACATGTTAGGTCGAGACAAGAAATTTAAATACTTAATACTTATTACATATTAACACCCTTATTGAAATGAACCAATGAAGCACCTGTATTAGTGACATCTGCATCTTCTCCAGCTAAATGTCTTGCTCTCAGTCTTTCATATCTGTATCTTTCCAAAAACTCAAAGAACTGATGCCGTAAAGCCAGCCTTCTCGAGTCTTCTTCCCTTGTTTCTTCTATATTTTCACTGGGTGGCTCCCTAAAGAAATTTAAAAATAAAAATCATAAACAGCCTTGTTCATCTTTACTCCAACAAAAGTTAATTTAACATCAGATCTACAAAGACCATGTTCATAACTGTACTTAAACAGCAAATACTCCAAATGAGGTTATCAGACAGCAGATTACAATGAACCCTCCATTACTATTTGACACATAAGATCCTGAGGCTGTATTAAGTTATTCTATTTTATATAAAAGAGAACTGCTACGGATTTATATCTGCTCAAAATAGGCAATATTTTCCAGTCTTAAAATCAAAATCAACTTTCAATTTAAGTTTCTTTTTTTTTTTTTTTTTTTGAAGTTGATGTTAAAGGTGGCCTGTTGGACCTGGACCACTTAAATCTGATCATGGGTCAGTGAATCACAGGGGTTACTGCACCAAGTAACCCTTGTTTTATTTAATGGAAAAAAGTTATTGTCAACCCCTGTGTTTGTGAAGCTAGTCTAACCAGATAATGCTGAAAGAATAGGCTACTTACCCTATGTGTGAATACTCATTGTTGTCATCTCTGTGAACTGTAGAACCATTGCAAATACCAGTGTATAGAAAGCGACCCAAATGATCGAAGCGCACCCACCTGAAATTTCCATAATAACTCTGTCATTGATAATAAAATCAATCTACTTACACTAATCTGTGTAAATTGAATGGAAATTCAGTTCTACTGCTTAAAAAGGTAAATGAAGACAAACTTCAAGGCCGTCTTTCACTTTAAAAGTGTGTCAAATCTCCTGGCATAAAATTACCCATAAGATCACATCAAAAATCATCTAAATTTATAAGGCATGTGTCAATATTCTCATAATGTTTTGTCTTTCTGTCAGTGGTCATACTCAGAACCCAACAAACAAAATGAAAACTGAAATCACAGACATAAAGAGGACCCCTACAGTGCATCAGAAGTTAAAACCTCTTTATCTGTTAATGTTGGAGTACTCCAAAATTTAGATGAAGTCAGTTTCCAGAGAAGAGGGTCAACTTCACTATATGTCATTTCAGCCTGCAAAAAACCACGAAAAACTTATCAAATCTCTGTTTGTCCAGCCCATCTCTATTGTAATTGAAGTTAGTCAAATAGCTAAATATTCCTTATCAGATGGCCCAGTAAGTTATCACATTTTACATAACTTATCACCAGCAGGGGCGGATCCAGAAGTATTTTCTGACAGTCTTCCATATTATATTTGTTGATCCACCCTCCATTTTTTGACCGTCTTCCAACAGAAAAAATTAGATACCCGTCAATGTTAACTTGAAAATCTGACCGTCTTCCGGAAGACCCAGAAGACGGCCTAAATCCGCCCCTGACCAGTGGAAACAGGTCTTGATTTAAGCATTCATGTGAAAGTAGCCGTACTGCCCTTACCTGACTCTCTCGTACTCATGTGCTGTACTAATTCTCACATTGGGCTGCTCCTCATTCCAGTTCCACATCAACAACTCGTTCCCTGTGGCAATCACCAGGATCTGCTCAGTAGGGTGGAATGCTACAGAGGAGATCACTGTGCCTTTCTCTGACCTCCATACCTCACTGCCACCACCCTGGAATGTGAAGGATTACAGCCTTTTAATAATTGAGAAAAAGATGGGAGTGGTTAAAATGTGAACCCGTATATGGCTTCAGTGTCATTCCTCATAATTAAACATAGAAAATATGTGTTTACCAATCAAAGTTCTCCTCACATTTCTGAAGACATATCAACATTGCAAAATAACACCGAATGTACTTCACTTAGCAAAAATAAACATCTCATACAATTCTACAAATAGGCATTTTAATCTAAATTTTGGTAGAATAATTTCATAGTTTAACAAAGGGATGCTATGTCTATTCTGGTTTTGTTCAATACAGGTTCAGTTTTCATACAATTCCACAGAAATACCTTTTGCAGAGTTTGAACCCTGTCTCCTTTTTCACACTATTTTAAACAATACCCACCCAGATAACACCTGGTTTTTCCCATACATTCACTCTACTCAGTAGACTTACATGAAGATCCCATATCCGGACCTCTCCAGCCAGGCATCCGGAGCCCAAGATCTTGTTGCTGGTTGGATGGAAAGCCACACACCACGGTGTCCTGGGATGTCCAGTCAGGGTGCGCTCACACTTCCCTGTTGATATGTTGGTGATCCTGACACTGTGGTCACCATGTGTGGATGCTATCCTGGACCTGTCAGGGATACAATTTTTTTTTTTTCGGCTTGGACTTGAAGTGGTCATAACAACTGAGCAATCAATATTAGGATAATTTTATTTACTGAGATTACTGTTTAATTTCTGCATGAAAAAATATCCACACAATTCCAATTCAATTTAATTCTATCTAGCACTATAAATGTGAAATTTGAGTATTTTTCAATACTTTTGTCCCTAGTTCCATCTCAAGCATTTTGATATATTTTTTTTCAATGAAGGTACTATACTACAACCTTCAACTTTGTTAACTGATGCTAATAAAAGAGATCAAAGAAAGTAAAGCAAATGTTGACTAATGCTAATTAAAGAGATCCAAAGAAGTAAAACAAAGACCATGATGGTGCTTTTTCCATACTTTTTGTCTTTTAAAACAGTTCAGTTATGTTATAAATCTATTTGCATTATAAATAACCATAATACATTGCAATTCAATATCACTTACCCATCAGGACTGAATACCATCAGAAATGTGGCTCTCACATTTTCATTGAGTTGGCAAGACTGAAAGAAAAAAAATTCATTTTATCCCACCTATAAAAAACAAGAGAAAAAAAGCACAGTGGTCAGATGAGCAGATAAAAAAATGACAAAACTAATACAAGCAGTGACACTGAAACAATCTAAACAACCAACTGAATGTTGAAAATGCACAAAGTATGTTTTTAAGCCTTGATTCAATATTACAGCATAATATCTGTCCACAAAAAAATAAAAAAAAAAAAATGCCAAGAGAAAGAGAGATACACTTTTATCATCTAAAAATACTGCAGGAAAAGGTTTGGGAAAACAGTTTACTAAATACAATACCCTAGTAGAAAATTATACATTGGCAAGATGGATAAAATGACTGTATAATAATGAGACCCCAGATAATAAGTCTATCAAACTAATAGTCCCAGGGCCCCTTCTGGCAAATTTTATTATTATCTGACTTAACAGTGACATTCTGGGTGAGTTATTTTGATTGTGTTATTCACTGAGATTTCAGTGTTTTTTGTGTTATTCAATTCCACAGCTTCACCAGGTGCAGGAAAGACAGCACACTTAACAATAAAATAATTGAAATTTAAAACTCTAACAAAACCAGTTTTCCCAGAGCCAATAAAAAACTACGGTCGGTGACATTAAATGCACTCTGTGACACCATCACAAACTGGTCATGCATAATGTTTACAGTACCACGTATAATAACGGGATAGGTTTTTAAAAAGTCACACGACTATTATTTCCACATCAAAACAATACTCCAATCCCAATGGTTGAAAATTGACCTTTTTCCAGCTGCCCTGTGAACCAGAAATCTTACCTGCGGGTGCGTGTCACGCACACACTAAATATAAAGGTTTCATTATACATCAGTACACATATCAGTAGAAATCTGATATTCATAATCCCAGACAACAGAGAATTAAGTGGTAGTCGGAGCTTCCATCTCTACAAAGGGCTAAACTACATGAAGAGATAAGCTAAAAATATAAACAGAATTCCACAATGAAAATGATAACCTAAATAGCCAGTATAAGTATGGGTTAGTTTTGATAGTAACACATTTCTGATGGACTCCAAAACAGTGCAGGGAGACTTAAAAACACTACAATAGCCACAGTATCTCCACTTCCTTTTGCATTTTGATCTATAATTATTTCATTGTTATTCTAACATTTATCCAAAGAATAATTTTAAAAGTTAGATTTTCTATTTTCTTGTGCTGGACATAAACTTGAAATAAACTTGGTGACTGAAGAGTCAAATTGTTGCTCAGAAATAATAAAAAAAAGATATATACTCTAAAATATGCACTACACTTTGGACATTTTTTATTCTTGTTTTAGATACTTTATAAGTGGACAGTGTATTTTTTTTTTCTTTTTGCTTTCTATTTCTATGCAATACCATCCTCATGTCAAAGAAGCCTGATACATTATTTATTAATAATGAATCACCACCAGTGCTTTTTAAAAGACAACATAACATAAGCAACAAATTACCAATCAATACAAAAAAAAAACTGTCTCATTCCTCTAAGTGTTATTTCCAGGTAATATGCCTCAGCTTTTACCTCAGATTACCTTGACCACAACCCACCCTCTAGGGCCACCCTGAGTCAAAGTTCATTTTCCTACAGTGCAAGCAAGAATGTCACATTATCATCAATGAGCTCTCTGTTTTCAGAAATCTCAACTATGCTGTGAAACTAAATCTGTCATACATCATTCATAAAAAACCTTATCAAATTGTTTCCTACGCCAGTTAATACAAAAGTACGCTTCAACCAGCTGTAATCGGGATGGGTTAACTAAGGACTCAACAATGATTTATGACTTTCCCATCACTTTTCCTTCTCATATAAACCTTTTGGGCTCCTAATTATTTTTCTCGGTACACCAGTATATGTTTAAATGTGACAATGAAAGAAATATATCCCAAACAACTGGTGCCTACATGTATGCCTGAAGACAAAGTATGTTCAAGAGCAAAAACATGACACAGACACCTTGTTTTTGAAAAAAACATAGCCAGAATGCTCGTATAATTACGCTGTCATACACAGCAGTAGGGACTATCAATGTAACCTAAAGGAGAAATATAACTAGTTTCAATGCAGGATACCGATGGTCAAGGGATTTTCACCAATCAACTATATACTTTTGCTTGAAAAAACACTCAACTCTTGTTCAGTCATACAACTATACTTTATAGACAAATTACTGGTTTTTCATATAGAGGTGATAAGAGCTAATCTCTTGAAACTGTCCTCTCAGTGTTTGTTCATAGTATAGAATGACCCGTTACTTTTGTTTACAACTGATGCTTTTCCATTTATCTAACCTCACTTGGCACTGATTGTGTATTCTGTTGAATGTGTGGATACAGCCCGTACCAAACAAAAACTGAAAGCCCCCTTTGCCATTTACAGTTTAAATTAAGCATCTACAGATAACAACAGCAATGATCAGAATATCTAGAAATAAAAAGATGGGTATTTTCACAATGGAAATCAATTTACAACTGGGGTCCCAATAGCACCTTAATTCTTCATTTTTTTTTCGAGATAATTCTACCTATTTATTAATTTTTTGTATGACAAAAATGATAATAACTAACAAGCACCTTCAGTGCTAATACTGGTGGTACATAAGTGGGACTAGAACAACTATGATGCAGTAGTTCTAGCACATAAGTCTAGAAAAACATGAAATGGGTACTGTTAAAGTCATATCACTGTCTTCCTACTTGAAAAGGCAATTCATGTTTAAAAAAATAATGCAAAGTACACATATTTGAAAAACACCGTTCAAGTTATAATTAACACAGCTTCACCTTTATCAGTTACCAAGCTGTCTTTGTTCCCAAGAGCAAATTTCTATTCCCATCATTAATATTAAGATGACAGTTATATGCACATAAAATCTTTTAACGTTCCTTTTCTTTTCTCTCCAGCAATATGGCATATCAAATTTTAAAGCACAAAAAAAGATGTTACTATAAAACAATTCCAGCCAAGTCTTATTCCAAAGACATAAAAAAATACATAACTACCAATAATATTAATAAAATAATAATTGTCATTTATTATCAAAACTTCAACCCAGGTTATCAATTATTCTTACCTTGTTCAATGTGGCTTTGGCTGCACAGTCCTCAGCATACTGCTCGGCTATATGAGGAGCCTTCCTATTGCTCTGGCCAATTTCCCGGAGGAGAACATAGTCCAATAATGATGCTCTAGGCATCTTTCTGTCTGATCTATCCTTCTAGATGTCTGTCTTTCAAGACACCTGAAATATATATACATTTGTTATATAAACTAAAATATAGAGAATGCTAGTGACAATGGCTTACTAATGTAATATCATCACTTAGCACCATACCACAAAATATGATATTAGTCATTTAGACAATCAATCACTCCCCCATCTACCAAGTAATGTGAAATGATACCCCAGAATAAGCCAAGACCTGTCTTACTCAGAATTCAGTTGGTAACTGTATGCAAACAGACCTATCTCTTGCCAAATTTATTTTTGCTTTTCTTTTGAGAAAGATTTTGATGGATAACTAAAAACCAAATATCATAGCAACTAACAGACTGAACTGAACCATAAATTGACAATACAAAAATTGAAACCAAACTAAATGCTTTAATAGATGATGTTAAAGAGTGCATTTTCATCTTCATCTACATTCACTAGCTTTTTGGTATATATACATGAATGGAATTAATTCTCTGGATATCGAAATCTTTCATGTGAAAAAATTCAATAGCAATCGGATCACAGAGTGTGAAACAGAATGAGATCTATTTGGCTTAAATGCCAAGAGTGAGATTTACAGGTCCAACAGTCTGGCCATGTCAATCATAAAAGCTTTAATCCCATAACAAAGAATTTCTTAAATGTTTGTTCAATAAATTTATGTTCAAATGACAATAGGGAATCAAAGACAAGTATGTTGCAATTTTTCAATAATCAGAAACTCTAGATAAGAAGGAAGCCTACTACAGTAAGCTTCTTACTGAAACTTTCCAATACATGTGTAAAGGGTTTTGACATTTAAAGCTTTCAAGTCTTAGAATGTTTAGAAAAAGTTTTCAGATTCATCATCAGAGCTATCAACAATGCAAAAAGAAGGAACTAAATCAAATCAAGTTTTATAAATTACAGACCTTTATAAGTAAAACATGGGAGGGAGGGCACTTTATTAATGTTATTTCTGTCACTGGTAAGCAATCACTTACAAATGGCAATTGCATACACACAATACCTTTGATTTTAGGAAACCCCATTCAAATAAATTCATCTTTCACCGATACATCACAATTTAAAGATAAACAATATCTGCCATACCTATGACAATAACAGACTTCTTGAGAAGTTCATCGCAGACTAGCATTTAGCAATGCCCTGACCTTTTGCCTCTGATTTTAATTTCTAGGATTACCAAACTGAGCTTATTATCTGTTCAACTAGGCATACATTTTTTCATCTGATACTAAAACTGACCCTGAAAGTCTCCTCTGTTTGAACATATATCCAAGGTTGCAGCTGGCAATGCAGTAAGTGGCCTAGTCTTATGTACTGTATTCCACTAAAACCTGCACTAAAAACTGCTCATTAGCTAAAGATACATTTTCATTAAAGTGAACCATCACCATTTCCCCTACCCCTGGGAAGCATTGCTTTTTATTATGGGGCAAGGCTACTTACAGAAGGTTTAAATGTGATATGCCCCAGAGCTCTTTAATAAGATATTTTTTATTGAAAAAGTGTTCCTGTATGACCCTTGCACAATATCCCTGCTATAATACCCTTTATTCAAAGGCGAGGCCTGACATTAACACCAGCTAATAAAATGGCAAGGGAAAGAGAGAATAAACTATAGATTACCGGCATAAAAACCTTCAAATTGGCAAGTTGACACCATGCACTTTGGGAGGAAAATCTTGGTAAAATGTATAATAATTAAACAAGAATATGATATAAAGTGCAGGTTGTTTAAAAGGTTCACTCAGGTTAAAAGCGCCATCAATGTCAAAATATTGACCTTGAAGGATTGTGAATTGATTGGTGACCCCTGCAGTCAATTCAGGACATGTCTTTTATGAAAATTCTCTTGTGTTCTTTAATTATTTTTAACAATGAAATTCATTGAGGATAATGGTGGTTTTAGAGTGATTATACCCCAGGGTTTCATTTATTTGAAACAACCCTTATAAATGCTTTTATGTACACAAAATACATTTAAAAATGACTTAGTTATTTGTAATATGTGAGGGTTTTCTTTAGATGTATGCAATAAATTTGTTAATATATATAACTTCTTAAACAAAACAGACAATAACAATCCATGTTCTTCTCCATGTATATAATTTTTAAAACAGAGTGAAGAACAAATATTCCCTGGGATTATCTGTACTGAGCCCCAGGTTTGCGATATAAAAGGTTTAAAAGACCCACAGATTTCCACTTATATTTCAAAGATAGGCGAATTATTTTACTTTTGAAACTGATTAATAAACAGAGACAATCAGGAAGCCATAAAAAATATTAACGATTCAAAAATCAGCTTACAAAAAATCCAAAGTCAATACACAAAATTGTCTGATACCCAAACACAACTTACAGCAATTTGTTTTGTTTCAAAAAAAAAAAAAAAAANTGTACACAAAATACATTTAAAAATGACTTAGTTATTTGTAATATGTGAGGGTTTTCTTTAGATGTATGCAATAAATTTGTTAATATATATAACTTCTTAAACAAAACAGACAATAACAATCCATGTTCTTCTCCATGTATATAATTTTTAAAACAGAGTGAAGAACAAATATTCCCTGGGATTATCTGTACTGAGCCCCAGGTTTGCGATATAAAAGGTTTAAAAGACCCACAGATTTCCACTTATATTTCAAAGATAGGCAGATTATTTTACTTTTGAAACTGATTAATAAACAGAGACAATCAGGAAGCCATAAAAAATATTAATGATTCAAAAATCAGCTTACAAAAAATCCAAAGTCAATACACAAAATTGTCTGATACCCAAACACAACTTACAGCAATTTGTTTGGTTTCAAAAAAAAAAAAAAAAAAAGAAAAAAAGATAAAGAGAAAAAAGAGAGAGAGATGACACTAAACTAAAAAATTATGTTATGTGAGGAAATAAAAATATAGTTATCAAGGACCGAAGCCAAGCTTATAAAAGTTGCTTATTCAATTAGGGTAAACTGAAAATGCTAGTCATTTCAGGGTGAAAAAAAACTTACAGTGAGATCCAGTCATCTTTTCAAGAGAAACAATTACTTTTAGAGTACACTTACATGTGATTGATACAGTACTTAAACTTTTTGCTCTCATTCTCCAGATCCTTTGGGAGAGGTTTAATGAGGCTTGCAAAGCAGGAAATCAACCAAAACATTATTCTAAAAAGACTACCAGAAAAATAATGCTGTTTTGCTCTTTTTTATCAGAAAAAAAATTAGGCTAAGATCCCATTTTCATACCTAGATTGATCTAGCAGGATTGGTCCATCTCTGGGGATTCTCACCAAATTGCACTCAGCTTACGTGGCTTAGATGTCTGGCATGCCTTCTGAAGCTGTTGGGTGTAATTAACTTTTATTTAGCAGCTTCAGTAGGCTTACCAGACATCTAAGGCACTTAAATTGAGTGCAACTGAGCAAGAATCCCCTTGGAGATAGACCGATCCCGCTAGATCAATCTAGGTATGGGAATGGGGTCTAAGATAAACTTCTGACAGATTTGTTCTATTATTGCACAGTTCATAAAGTTTGGAATAGGCTGTTTCAAAAATATAATACTAATAAAATTATGCACATCCTTGGCATTTTCCCAGTATATAATAAATATGTGATTTGGCCACATTAATGCTGTACCAGGCTTATTGGCTCTACAATGTTTTCAGGACTGTTCAGAACCAGTATAACATACACAAGTTCTATTTCTGGTACCCTCTATAAGACACAACATAATACAATGCAGGCCATTTGGTTTTAAACATCTTAAAAGTACAGGAGTCCATGAGCAAGAGAACTGTCTCCATTTCTTACTGAATATTCATTATACATAATCCTACTATGAACAGGTATAATTCTTTAGAAGGGCACATATATCTTTTCAGATCTCTGAGATTCATCTTTTAATCACGAGTTAAATGTCAGTGTGCATATCATCCTTATCACACACGCCAAATATTTTGTTCAAGCTGCTGTGTATAATATCAGGTTTACTTGGTGTACTTTAGATGTATGTCTTGTGCCCTCCTCACACCCTATTTCCACAGACACCATCGGTCTACACAGATCAATCAAACTCTGTGGGGAACTCTTGCTGAGTGCAATCAGCTAAACTGAATGAAACGCTTCCTTTGGTTTCCAAGACACTCATATAATCACCAGCTTTTTTGTATTCCACTCAACATCAGGAGGAGATCACAATGTATCGTTCAGTTAAGCTGATTGTACATAGCAATAGTTCCCACAGAGTTGGATCAATCTACATAGGACAATGGTGTCTATGGGAATGGTCACAGTCAGGTGTCTATTGGAATGGTCACACAGTCACGTTAAAGTACCCCGACTTATTTAACTTATATGCCCTTCTAGCCTCAATTTGTTTTTCAAAGGATTTTACTGCAATATGAGAAAGGCAGAAAAAACTAAAAAGTATGTAAGTTTCACTGAAACAGCTGTGGTCACAGAAATTTCACATAAAACCCCCATTGTTTACCAACTTACCTGTTGTTAAAAGAAATGTTGTAATTTTCATCAATTTTCTATCTATTAACGATTTTCATAAACTCATATATGTTTATAAAAGTAACATACTAGTGCTAAACACACTCGAGCAGGATTTTTATGAGTCTCAGACCCGTGCAGACTTCAACCCACTGCGATGAACGTCAAATCAATAACAACGTTAATCATACCATGTACTATATTTTAATCAGCTAATGTTTCAGCCCTCCCTTAAAGGTTCGTCATCGTTTCCATGTCTAACGACAATGCAACACATATTTTTGATAATGCATACGCATTAGCAAAGCTTCGAAAAGACATGCTGACAAAAAAAAGGAAAGAAATTATGACTGCAACATGAGTCAAGACGAGTCAACTCCGGATGCGCAGCTAGTTTCCTTCGCAACGAAAATGTTACGAAAACCATACGAATTGAGATAAAAATTACCAACTTACCCTTTTCACCCACTCCGCTTTCTCCTCCTCACTCTCTCTCTCGCTCCACCATATGTTCGAACCTGATAACGAGCGGTTACATTCTCTACTAACACCACTCGTCTCCCGAGAATAGTCTGTCTGTGTGTCAAAACTTCCGGATTACTACTTCCGGAAAAATAATGCTTCTCACAATGTCGTGATATAATATTCGAGGTTTCGTTTGATTCAATTATGTAGAAAGGTATTGCGCATGTATACACCAAACTGACAAAGAAAGATCTATATAGTGTGTTTTAGCGTAATGTATTTTTATTTGCCCAGCACATGGCGTAATTGATCTCCAAAGTTTCGTTTTTCGAGTCGTTGCTGTCTGTAATATTTTTGCACAATGTACATGTACAGCTGTACATGTGTATAAACTAATATACACCATGTCGTAATGTGAATGCAAGCATGTTATTGGTATACATCTATAATCTAAGTGGCATCTGAAAACATTTCAGGTTGAGAGGTGTGATCTACTGGTTTGGTGTTTGAACTTGCGTAATGGAGGCGGATATTGCCAAAAAGGAGCAGACACAAAAGCGGCATTACTTTTATCTGAATGAACTGCAGTCTATGGCCAGAGAATTACCAGGGTAAATGACGGGCAAAATTGGGTTGATTCAAAATATAGATAAGTGCTTGCAACTTGGATTTATCATATTAAAATCCTCTGTGTTCCTTCAGCATAATCGTGTGGACTTATTCGTGTCATTTAGGGTCTGATTCACAATTCATTCATCACTTTACAGTTGTACGTCGACAGGAAACTCGAACTGCATTGTGGGAGGGGGAAAGAGCGTGAACTCGTGGCGCGAAGGCTCTTGAACACAAAATAATGACTACCTGCTGTGTTTCAAGTTGCAGAAATGATAGAAGGTATCGAGAAAGGTAATTTCCCGCTAATTTTACAATCATGGACCAGAGTGTGTGATCGTCGAGGTTATTCCCCATTATTCGTATACTCGCTGTTTTTGTTTTGCTCTATTTTTTCCCACAATGCAATTCTCACGCATGCGCGCAGCGATTTTGTAAGTATCTGTAAAGTGGTGAATAATAACTTGAAGTGGGGTTCTTGTGAAGCATTGGACTAAGGNCTGTTCTATTATTGCACAGTTCATAAAGTTTGGAATAGGCTGTTTCAAAAATATAATACTAATAAAATTATGCACATCCTTGGCATTTTCCCAGTATATAATAAATATGTGATTTGGCCACAAGTTTGGCCACAAGTTCTATTTCTGGTACCCTCTATAAGATACAACATAATACAATGCAGGCCATTTGGTTTTAAACATCTTAAAAGTACAGGAGTCCATGAGCAAGAGAACTGTCTCCATTCCTTACTGAATATTCATTATACATAATCCTACTATGAACAGGTATAATTCTTTAGAAGGGCACATATATCTTTTCAGATCTCTGAGATTCATCTTTTAATCACGAGTTAAATGTCAGTGTGCATATCATCCTTATCACACACGCCAAATATTTTGTTCAAGCTGCTGTGTATAATATCAGGTTTACTTGGTGTACTTTAGATGTATGTCTTGTGCCCTCCTCACACCCTATTTCCACAGACACCATCGGTCTACACAGATCAATCAAACTCTGTGGGGAACTCTTGCTGAGTGCAATCAGCTAAACTGAATGAAACGCTTCCTTTGGTTTCCAAGACACTCATATAATCACCAGCTTTTTTGTATTCCACTCAACATCAGGAGGAGATCACAATGTATCGTTCAGTTAAGCTGATTGTACATAGCAATAGTTCCCACAGAGTTGGATCAATCTACATAGAACAATGGTGTCTATCATGGGAATGGTCACAGTCACGTTATAGTACCTTGACTTATTTAACTTATATGCCCTTCTAGCCTCAATTTACTTTTGAAAAAATTTTACTGCAATATGAGAAAGGCAGAAAAAACTAAAAAGTATGTAAGTTTCACTGAAACAGCTGTGGTCACTGAAATTTCACATAAACCCCCATTGTTTACCAACTTACCTGTTAAGTTAAAAAGAAATGCTGTCATTTTCATCAATTTTCAATCTATTAACGATTTTCATAAACTCATATATGTTTATAAAAGTAACATACTAGTGTTAAACACACTAGAGCAGGATTTTTATGTCTCAGACCCGTGCAGACTTCAACCCACTGCGATGAACGTCAAATCAATAACAACGTTAATCATACCATGTACTATATTTTAATCAGCTAATGTTTCAGCCCTCCCTTAAAGGTTCGTCATCGTTTCCATGTCTAACGACAATGCAACACATATTTTTGACAATGCATACGCATTAGCAAAGCTTCGAAAAGACATGCTGACAAAAAAGGAAAGAAATTATGACTGCAACTTGAGTCAAGACGAGTCAACTCCGGATGCGCAGCTAGTTTCCTTCGCAACGAAAATGTTACGAAAACCATACGAATTGAGATAAAAATTATCAACTTACCCTTTTCACCCACTCCGCTTTCTCCTCCTCACTCTCTCTCTCGCTCCACCATATGTTCGAACCTGATAACGAGCGGTTACATTCTCATTCTTAATCGGTCTACTAACACCACTCCGTCTCCCGAGAATAGTCTGTCTGTGTGTCAAAACTTCCGGATTACTACTTCCGGAAAAATAATGCTTCTCACAATGTCGTGATATTCGAGGTTTCGTTTGATTCAATTATGTAGAAAGGTATTTCGCATGTATACACCAAACTGACAAAGAAAGATCTATATAGTGTGTTTTAGCGTAATGTATTTTTATTTGCTCAGCACATGGCGTAATTGATCTCCAAAGTTTCGTTTTTCGAGTCGTTGCTGTCTGTAATGCACAACGTACAGCTGTACATGTGTATAAACTAATATACACCGTGTCGTAATGTGAATGCAAGCATGTTATTGGTATACATCTATAATCTAAGTGGCATCTGAAAACATTTCAGGTTCAAAGGTGTGATCTACTGGTTTGGTGTTTGAACTTGCGTAATGGAAGCGGATATTGCCAAAAAGGAGCAGACACAAAAGCGGCATTACTTTTATCTGAATGAACTGCAGTCTATGGCCAGAGAATTACCAGGGTAAATGACGGGCAAAATTGGGTTGATTCAAAATATAGATAAGTGCTTGCAACTTGGATTTATCATATTAAAATCCTCTGTGTTCCTTCAGCAGAATCATGTGGACTTATTCGTGTCATTTAGGGTCTGATTCACAATTCATTATAACTTGAAGTGGGGTTCTTGTGAAGCATTGGACTAATACTATCAGGGGCGGATTTAGGGCGTCTTCTGGGTCTTCTGGAAGATGGTCAGATTTTCAAGTTTACATTGACGGGTATCTATTTTTTTTCTGTCGGAAGACGGTCAAAAATGGAGAATGGATCAATAAAGATAAATTGGAAGACTGTCAGAAAATAACTCTGGATCCGCCCCTGACTATGGCATACAGTGTGCATCCTTATCTTCCCAATTTCACAGTTGTGCATTATTGAATGCTCATTCAATAATTTATTGATGTTATCATTTAACAGGAAGCATCAGCAGCGGCTGTCATATGATCTTTTGTCTCACTTGGCAAATGCTCTTCTGGACGGCACCGTATTTGCCATAGTCAGCAGTCTCAAAGAAGTTCAACAGCTGGAAGAGCGGAACCTATTTAATCGTAGAGTTAAGATGTTAAACGAGCATGCAGGTACATTGGGTATATATATATATATAATACCTCAATGTTGTGATTTTGTCAAATGACAAATGTAATGTCCTATGCATACTGAGTACAAACAAACAGGAAGTACACAATAATAGTAATTGAAACTCACTCAAAAGATAAGTATATAGTGTTATTGTACTATAAAGTAACAGAAACATTGATGCTCTTTTTATTATTGTAAACTAAATCTAATAATTCTTACTTTTTACATTAACAGCTAAAAAACAAGAGTTGATGAAGAAACAAAGTGAAGCTATTCAGAGCTGCCGATCAAAGCCACATAGCCTTCCCCTTGTGCAAGCTGAATATGAGGCACAGTGGAGTGTAAGTTGACCTGTATCTTTAAAAGTTCATACTAAGTTACAAATCATTGTACCTGCCTATCACCCATCTATGACACTCTGCTGTTACATGACTGAGTGAACATTCAGTTATGTGAGAGCTCCTCTTAAGCTCAGTTGGACACCTCTATAGTAGTCTTCAATCTATTATTCAATATTATTAATTTTTTTTTTAACAAAACATTTTCTGTTTCAAAAGCATCAAGGGTTTGACATACTTAATATTTTATTTCTATTTTCATTTGGTATGAGGGGTAATGTAGAATAAAAGGAATAAGGAAATGAAGATGGATAAGAATTGTTATGTTGCTTTTAGGAACTTGAGTCAAACTACAGTGATGAACTGAAACGCCAGGACATGCGCATCATCTTAGAGCTGGACCAGAAGATGTTAGATCAGCAGTCCACCTTGGAGAAAGCAGGAGTTCCTGGCTTCTGTGTGACAAACAATCCTCTAGAGGTCAGGATCCAAATGTACCTGCTAGACTTTATCAACAGGATCAGTGAAATGCAGGTGCCTGACTGAAAAATATACTGGAATGATGCTCATTTGTTATAATTCTAGGAAGTGATCACCACAGCTGAGTCAGTGCTGTGTATATGTACTCACTGCAGCAAGTGAGGTGTATGTTCACTTAGGTTTGTCACTGGCAAGAGGTGTCAGTATGTGTCAAATTGGAGCACATACACGTACCAGTGGTGTCATGTTTAATCAGGTGGCTGTCATAACTTCATATGACCAACAAATGCCATGTTCAATCAACAGAGCAGTTTCTCAGCCTCAGATAAGATTCATTCATGGTATTGTCAAGTTAGCTGAAGCTTTCAAGAAGTTGGTGCCTTGTGATGGCACAATATACATGCTTGATACAGCCACGAGTTCCTTTCTGTATGTGTAAAAGTTGAGCATAAAGGATTGTTATCCATTTGAGAAACTCTTTCACTGATTAAGGCAAATGTGTTGGCAGCAGAAATATTGTTATAATGCTTGCAAAATGTACCGATAGATAGCCTTTACCAGGGCCCAGTCAAAAAAATGGTAGCAATAAAAGTGAAGCGGTCATCCATTTTCATCACCAGTCTACAAAGTCCCCGAGGGCTTGTGTTAACAATAAGTTAGTTAATTTTTTATTGCCAGTGATAAAATTAAAGGGATAATAACTCTTTGTATGAGATCTATATTTCACAATAAAAAAATTGGGAATAACTCGTAGAAATATTATATATTCTGTTTTACCACAAAAACCGCAGTTAAAGCTATTATTCTGATATCTGAGCTTGTCTTTAGGCCACGTGACCTCCATTGATGGCTATTTTCTGTTAAAATCTCTTAAGAGATTTTAACAAAAAACCAAACTTTTTAGAAAAAAACCAAGGACTAACTTTGAATGTAAAAATGGATTCATTAACCATTGGTAAGTATGGGAAAATTGTTGTTTACTCTAGGAAAATTCATTTTTTGGTCAAAACGAAGAGTTATTATCCGTTTAAGCCTCTGTACTATAATTTCTATTGGCATTTGAAAGGTGTGGATTAACTGAGAGGTCAAGAGAATCTGTCATTGTCACATTTCAAACATCAAGCAAAGCAAAATTTTGCACACCAAAAGGCACTTGTGGATAATAGGCCACGTAAAGTGAAAGTTGGTACCGGTAGACAGCCACAGAAGACCAAATATAAAATGAAATTTGTTCAAATAAAGGCAAGAAGTTGTTCAAATGAACAAACAGAAGAATTTTTTATTTTGAAATATTCACAAATAAAGTAGAAGCACAGAATGATGAGAGTAATAAATCCTTCCCAATTAAGAACAGAAAACTACATTTACAATCATAGCGTCGGTATTTACATTACAAGTCTTGCAGCGAAGCGCGGCTATCACGCGCAGCATGCAGCATTGTGTTAGAGGCGCTTTGCTGCAATATGGCTAGGAACTGTTACAGTTGCGAGGAATGGAAAGGAAAACGCACGTCTACAGTGGGTGTACGTTATTTTTTATCATGAAGTGCCTTTTCTCTAGGAATTTGTATGTTAACTGTTATGACATGTGGGCAGAATATCTGGTTTATAAAGAAAGACGACAACGCATGAGATTATTGTCTGACCTTGTGTCTGGCGACGGAAATCGCAGGGCATTGTGAGATATTCCATAAAACAGTAAACGAAGTCGGTCACGCTTTCTTATTAAATTTATATTAAGCATAAAACCAGACTTAGTACCGCAGATATTAACCTGCATCATATAACGCACAAAGCAATCTCAGTGGGCTGTAGATAAACCGCAAGAGGATCGATTCTCTTGTGGTTTTAAATCTTGGTTGCATGATTATTAACCCGAAACTCATCAGTTAATTGTAATCAGGCATAAAATAGATGCATTTGAGTGGCACTTGAGAGAACTTCTTTAAAAACGAGAAGGGAGTGCACTTACAATATATGAATTAGACAAAATGAAAAAAGTTTTAATTAGACGTTATTAAAGGGATAACAACTCTTCATATGAGATCTATACTTACAATAAATACATTGTAAGCTGTCTGATGAACGCCTACGTCCAGGTTGGCCGTAAGCTAACGGTATGAAAGTTTTTCGGCTTGTGTTCTCATTTATGATCCAACTACCAAGCTAATGAAATTTTGCTCAGAACTATAGGGTGTTTAGAAATAAGAAGCTTGATCACAAAAAATGCATAAATGTAAATCGTCTCAAAATCGATACAGGTCGATCTATGCAGTTCAGTCTGAATATCCAGAAACTAGATAATTGAACCAACACTGCCTTTATCGTTCACAGAAGACACATTGCTTTTGGAATCAATGGAAAATTGCTTTTTCAGCACTGGTGGACATTGCGTCAGAAATATTGCTTTTCTTTGGCCAATGTCAGACACAAAATTGCCTCATTATTAATTAAGGGCGACAGAAAGTTCTATTGATAGCACAGTTTGTTATCCAATGTGAGAAAAATCATTTCAATTCATTTAATTCATTCAAAGGTGTGCTTATCCTTTTGTTATACACATATATAAAGACTCACGTGAGAATTATTTTATAACAATTATATTATGCATTAATCATTATCACCATATTGCAAGATGTTACATTTATCATCAACATGCCGTTAAAAAAGGTTGACAATACGCCTTTGAAATGGCTCCAAACCGCACGTTCATGCATTTTACCTGATTGCGCGACAGACTGTGCCCTTGGCACCGGTACACGATTTAATAAAAAATATACGTGGCATTCCTGAATCACCTACCCACCACCCACCCGCTAGACGAAAAAAAAAACGCATTTTATAATAGCAATTCCCCTTCAAAGTAGATTTTAAAGGGCGAGATGTAGGCCCTATACGTTGTGTGAAAATTGAAAGCAATGTGAAAGTGGCCTATATTACCAGGGGATGCGAAAATTTTACCAGGTCTCTCTTTGAGACGAAAACCTGTCGATTTTTATCAAGAAAATAGAGCCACAAACGGATTAGTAACTAAGGTTTTATCGATGGCGGGCAGCCGCATGCGTTAATTCGCTCCGCAGCAGGGTAATGGTTTAACGTGAAAAATAGACTATAGGGAGGTGCATACTTTAACCAGTAATCACAAATCATTGTTACGAGACATTGTTCAATAAGATTTGATTAAACATTATTTATAGTTTTAATTTTTGTAAAATCTCTACTCCAGCACGATAGGATGACGCAGGAGCAGAGTTTTCGGCCCCATTCAGAATAGGGGACTAACTAGTCCGAGGGTCAAATATGGCGACCCACAACAAAGCTTGCCGTCTTATCCGCTAACATAGACACTGAATAGATATCCCGTGAGGGAGTATTCAAGTGGGTCGGCCACATTTGACCCTCGGACTTAGGATATTAAATGGCATAATTTTGGAACAAAAGGTCTGGTAAAAAACCTGTGTTATGCATTGGTTTATCGTATGTTCTTAAACAATCATTGGAAAATCTCATGATACTTTCTCAAATTTTTTATAATCAAGATATAGATAGCCTAGAAGCCAAAGCTGAAAGTGAAAAGAATTATGGTATGAAATTCGTCATTATATATTCAGAGAGCCTGATATATTGGGTTTATGTCTGTTTATTGAACATGTGGGATTAATTGCAAAAAATGGCCGCCACCCACGGAGAATATACAAAATGAGTGCCAATTATGAAAGTGATTTATATTCCTCGCTTCAATATCTATAATATAATACAGATAAATGATTGAACACGAAGGACGTGCAACCCCCCCCCCCCCCTCAAAATCGCGATTTTTGGAAACAGCAATGTATATACCCAAATAGGTTTATTTTTATTGGTATCAGAGACCAAGAACTTACCGCGTCGTATCCGTGAGGTAAATTTTAATTCAATTTTTAAATGTTTGTGCAGGCGTCGTCTGACGAGTACAATTCACAATTCCAAAACTAAAGGTTTTGTTTTTCACTAATATATAATGCGAAATTTTTGTCATTCCTATTGCAGTTTGTCGTAATATTAGAGTATCCTGAGAATTACTCACTCTCCACAGAAAAATGTTTGTATTCACCAGTGGCCCGTGAAACAATGTAGAGGCTCCCAGAAAAGTGTATCCAATTTTTCGTTCTAGGTTGTTGAATACAAATGGTTGTAATAATATATCCATGCATATAAATAAAAACGAGGAAGTAAAATGTTAAAGTGAAACTGAGGAAATACAGCCTTTTCAAATTTTAGGTTCTATTACGAGAGGTTTTCATGCGAAGTCGACATACTTATATCTTTCTGTTATCACAAAGTTTATAGTGTTAATTTGATCCAAAATCTGTCTGAGAGATCATTCAAATATTAAAGTCATTTGCGTTTCCATATGTTAGGCCGATGTTGTTGTGTCTTTGAACATTTCAGTTGCCGTTGCAGATAGAAATACATTTCAGATGATCAACATTGCTAAAAATGTCAACCATTGAAACAAGATGCAGTTTGGGCTGTAATAGAAAACAATAGTTTCATGGGAGATTGTTCGGTTGTGATCAAGCGGATTCCATGTGTGCTTCCAGCAGCGGGTCTTGATATTTGTTAAACGAAATCAAAAACTATAATTGATCGTCGACTGTGTATCTTTAACATCAAAATTAGCTCGCTCCAACTAGAGTGATACACATATCTACCATCCTTAGAAAATGCTATCGTACAGGATGTCTACCGGGAAAATTTCCCGTGCCTGGACAGCAGCTAAAAGCTAACCTGAGAATAATCAGCTGTCAGCCTGTTGTTAGTTAATTTGAAATTGCCTGGAAAATACGACCGGAAAAAAACAGCCCTGGAGAAGGTGACATTGTGGTTGAGTTTTCCAAAGTCAGTTTGCCGGAGTCATACCAGATAGCCTTGTTTGACCTCAACGCCAGCATGAAAAGTAGACGGGGTTACCTACAGCATTGACTGTAAATGCCTGCATATAGCTATCTTCTGATATTATGTGCATATAGGTATTTTGGCATGTCGATGGATACCTAGGGTATAAACGCATAATTACACAAATTTAACTTGCAACTTTAGTTTTATATTTATAATATAACAGGCTCTGTAAAGTTTTCAATGTCACATGTATTTATTATTGTTGAATTTGATTATAAATTTGTAAAAATGAATTATTTACCAATACTCAAAATCAGAAGAAAACTACGGTCCGGTCACGTAGAAGTGGTCTTATACATTTATGTCATATATCTAAGAAAAAGAAAATAATTGGTGATTATTTTGCAGAAATGAACACATCACTCATGAGTTGCCTGTGGTCCACGCATGAAAGTAATTTGATATAACTTCCTCCTACTTTCAATTAATATAAAATCTTGGCTATCGCTCTGTTTGATCAACAATAGGTATTTACAATAGGCAATAGTGTTTTGTCTTGGTCTGTCACCAAAGCCATTTGTTACATTAGACCAGAAGAGGGCCAGTCATCTATTTTTCTTTGACCACAATGACACGTATGGTACAGTTCACATTCATTAATTCATTACCGATCTGTTGCCATATATACTGCTATGAAATATCTTTACAACTAAGCCCGTCAAACAGTGAGTGATAAACAAAGCAAGGACTGAAACATCACCAACAAACAAAGCGCGTAGGCGGTTAGAATTTTATGCGACCCTCGAAATTATCGATCGTTTAATAGGACGCATAATTGTTTGATTAACTGCTTGTATTCACTGGGCATGTGTACCTTAGTCCTCTGGCAGATGGTCGCACCTCGATAAGATGATAAATAAAACGGACACCACAACACGCTGTTTACTTTTTGGAAATGCGACGCATGTGCAACAGACAACCAATGCTAAATTGTATGCAAGAACGTGCGAACCCCTATCGCCACAAATGCAGTGGCATTCAAATTGTGCGCAGCTATTGTAAGAATATGGGAGCAGGTGCTGATCCAGTGAATATAATCCTATTCAAGCTTGTCAAAGAGGGGTGGTAATTCCATATGGCCATTGGCAATAAGAAGTGGCACACGCCAGGCACACGCCGGCCTGATCCTGATTGGTCAGTCTACCCCAGCTGGGTCAACAAGCCTCAGTGCAATCTTTCTTTGCATTTCAAATGGTAGCATTACCTTGGCATTGGGGATGCGGGCTGTTGGGTATTTAAATACCTAGTTCATTACAAAACTTGACGCGACCCAAGGTATAGCTGAAAGATCGAAGACCAATGGACAAAAGTGATTAGACGTGGCATTACGTCAGAGGATTTTAAGTCTCAATTAAATCGACCAGTTGCCCTCACGTAACTGTTTGAATTAGGGTTTACGAGTATTCCTTCAACGCATGTAACCCGTGAAAGAGTCGCGTGCCAGGAGCGTGTCCTTTGTTGTCATCTATTGTGGGTGACGTACGTGACTTGCAACTGCACTGGGTTTCAGTTAATGGATGAAAACCGAACTGATAGCATGGTGCAAAACGAACTGGAGGAAGATCCCATACATGAACCAGACACAGTCCAGCGGACGAATCCAAGGCAAGTAAAAGTTAGAATAAGAAATAACACATTTCAAACATTAAATATTAGTTTCATTTTAAATCTTTGTATATTATTTTATATTGAATATTTTAAGCGGTTGAGTGGTATATCAACCCAACATTGCTTCGCGTAGGCGGCTGCATTTGCGTTAGATTTGAAATATATATAGAAAACCTTGAAATGTGGGACAAATGGGCCTGCATAAATATATTGACGGCGAAAATTTTACATTTTTAAGAACATGAACGCTCCAAACATTTATATATTGTCAAGATCCTGTTTTAACTGATATTGAATGATAGTATAAAACAGCGTTTGTGGGACAGCTGTATTTACTCTCGACAATACTAAAAATAGACCTACGACAGAGGTCTGTGCACGGCGTATTACGAAAAAAGCAAGTTCAATAATAAGAGTCAATATATTCCTAGAATAGATTTTAGATTGTATTTTGGGAATACGTGTGACTACAACATTTAGCCTCGTTGTAAATACAGTGTGATCTTTTTATCGATTCTTCTCAATCAAAACTGATTAGAGGCCTTGAGGCTGTCGTATTTACTATCCAGGAACGGCAGTGTTATTGAATAACCAATAGTACATTCCCGGGCACCACTCGTTTTAGAAAATATTGATTCTTTTCAATGTGTTCTCTCTCTCTCTCTCTCTCTCTCTCTCAATATAGATAGTAAATAGCCAGACAAACATGCTAAATTGTATACTTTTATTTTTCGTTTTGACTGTTGTTGTTTGACTTTTGGAGTTTTTTGTTTGACTGATTTTAAGCCACAGTATAACAAAGAACGGGGGGTTAACATTCCCTTATCTTCGTATAGGTTGTTCGCACACAAATAAACAATGCGTCGTTCATGTTATCTGTGGCTTGCGCAGTGCGACAGGTTTTATCTCGAGATTTGCAGGGGTAGAAAAATTACAAAATAAAGTAAAAACCACAACGGGATTGAATTAATGTTACACCAATTATGCTTGTCTTTTAACTAGCAAATTTTGACAATTCTCGAGTTTATAATCGGATTTTAATCGTTTTTCAGCCCATGGAATAACGGTAGACCATCATCGCGACAGTGCAGCCTATGCCGCAAAAGAATATACTTTCGAAGCTATAGCTGTCGTTATTGCAAGTAAGTGGTTATAGTTTGTTGGTCTTCTGATTTTATTTGCAATTTAGTGCATTTAATGCTTTAGGGGACTAAACAAAATAGTAAACTTTGTGTTCAATCAATATAAAACAGCCTTATTTAAATCATTCACAAGTTACATGTATTTACTCAGTTTCATTAACAAATGAGATATTAACTTCTAATGGAGAGGGCTTGTTATAAGATTGTACCGAAGTTTCTTAACACATCATTATCTAAAACCTTCTTCGACTCTACCATTCATGAACAAAAAGGGATAAAAATTATTATTTTAAGTCCAATGTGACCTTTGATTTTAATATTAGGATTAGGTCACTAGCTGAGATGTTTATCTGTCCATATCTGCGTGAGATCAAACGATCAAGATAGTAGTCAGCAACAAGGAAACCCCCTATACTGAGTTAGGGTGCATTCCCAGAGATTTAGATCGATCCAGAGATTAAGATTTAGATCGACCTAACTCCCAGGGGGTTCATGCTAAATTGCAGTCAGCCGAGCGGGCACCATAGTTAATTACCCCCTTACAGCTTTTAATAGGCGGGACAGACGCTTAAGCCGGCCAAGCTGACAGTAATCTAGTGAGACTCCCCACAGGGATAGATCGATCTAAAAATCTATGGAAATGGGGTGTTAGTCTGGGAGCTACAAATGTGCTGTAATTTAGTTGTTACCCATTTACAAGTTATAAGATGTGACAGTGCAACAATTCAGGGCACATATTCAGTCATGAAGTTAAAAAGATAAGACACGCCGTATTGAACCATGAGCGTCGTGACTTGTTCTGTCGGTAATGCACGCTGTCAGCTGATCGTTCTCACGGTTCTAATCATATATCATAATTAGGCCTCAGTTATGTATATTCTGAGAATAGATAATACCCGGTCATTGTCCTCTTATGTAAATAGTACAAAACATTGGTGACTCCAGAGGTTTGCTAAAGAGGAGGCACAAAGAAAATTTGTTTTGCCGAGCGAAATGAGGCAAATATATAAAAGAAGACGAGACCAATTTTACTGTAATGTGTGCGGCGCAGGAAAAGAAAATTTGATTGGTTTTGCCTCGTTTTGCGATCGCTCGTTATACGTTTCTCTACTTATCTATATGAGACGACTCTTCATGATCTATTTAAGTCTATTTTTCATATAGAAGGGGTTCGTCTTAAGATAACATATATATACTTGCATACACACGTACGGGGTCATTTCTCTCATAAAATTGCTCGATTTAGTGATATTTTTATTTTTATGTACGAATGTTTATGGTATGTCAAATTTGATTCATTTTTTTAGATCATAGGACATTTATTTTACCTTTTATATTCCCATTTAAGTAAGTTACGAAACAGACATTACAATCTTACGTGTGAATCCGGCTAATGTTATGTGCAGAAACAACACAAGCTTTGCTTTTCAGTGGGCGAAGTTTTCACAGCTTTATTTGAACAATTGCACTACTTTGGTAAAGTTGGTAAAATAACTTGAATACACTAACAGTCTTGATTCAAAGTTCTTTGTCTCACCTGGATTTTGTCAAAGTGTTTATTGCAGATTATGTGACTGCCTGTTTTAACATTTAGGCACCGCTACCACGAAAAATGTGCCGTTGTTGGTCATTTAATGTGCAGACGAAGAAGTGATACAGGTAATTTTTTAATGAAATTTGAAATTTGAAAAAGTTTTTTTTTTTTTTGACAAGCGTAACCTCTTACATACGCGATTGTAACAGGGGCATTCCACAAGATTTAGTAAAAAATTGAGATTCGTCAGTGACACACAGATTTTGTGAAATATTTGCACACCTTTAACTTACCCCGAAATTTTCGCTGTTTTATTTTGTAGTGCCCTCCAATATGGAATTGAAAGTATTCAACAGCAATGAAAAAGTGTTAAATCAGTTTTGCAAATATAACACAAATTGCATTTGTTACAAAAGTGACTCAAATGTTCACTTTTCTGTGGAAGGGCCCATCATTATTATTCATAAACATAGATAAATACAAACGAAGTCCGCAGGTAACGTGTGTGTGCATTTGTACTAACTGTTGGCGTTGGCAATATCAAATGACCTTTTCATACCATCATTTTATGACAGCCCAAAGTAATCCCGTATATTTTTTCAACTAGGCATGGATTAATGACATGTATTTTATATTATCCCTTGGTGCCCCTCGCTCTGTTTGAAACTTCCAAAAATGTACTTAATGAACCATTAAAAAATAATCAGATAAATAAATTACATCTATTCATGTCATACCGAACCTAGTACTCATTGAAGATAAACCTTTAATATTAAAGATTAATAAAGGTATTTATTCATTTGTTTTGTTTTTTATCTTTTAGGCGATGATCACTGGACTAAATTATTACAGGCCAATGAAATCAATTCAAACATGGACCTTTCCGTCCTTCAGAGTCTCAATAATTTGTGTAAGAAACACCGTAATTCTCCCAAAGACAAGACCAGTGCATTGTATAGGCTGTACAGAAGACTTCGAAAATTTGTGCTTCCTAAACGACAAGAGGAGGAGGAGATTAAAGATGAAGACAGCAGCAGTGAGTTGGAGGAGACCAGCTCCCGTTCCTACTCCTCACGAGCGTCTTCAAGCTCATGTTTTTCCATCACGACATTGTCAGACGGCTACGCCAGCCGATCTAGCGTATCGACCTGTTCCTCGATGCACTTCAAGCCGCCGACGCTGCTGCCGCCGCAACCACAGCAAACTGAGTCATTATCGCCGCCGTGTCACTTCACCTCGGACTCAACCGCTGCACCTGCTGACTTGAGCCCCAGAGAACTTACCGTGCACCCTGGAGCAGCTGGCGCGTGCCAGGACAAAGGACAATCCAAATCCAGCCAGACGTATTGTCACGCAAGCCTGGCCGGTACGATCAGCTGTCCACAGAAAACGAGCCTTGGTCCTCAGCTGAAGGTGGACGAGAGCAACCTGGTGGCTTCCTGGCCCCCGGTGGGATACAGACTCTGCAGTTACGGTAAGCTTTCTCGCGTTATGCAGACTTATATGAAGATTTTTATCATATGTCGACGGCGTTTTGTGAGCAAGAAGCTTACCTTTCTTACCCGCAGTTAAATCACTTATTTAGAGACAGTGCTTTTATGTTGCGTTATTCATATGTTTACAAGTAATTGGAGTGAACCCTGGATGTTCCCAGTCGCGGTTTGCGCCATCTGTCACTTGTGTCCTGTCACGGCCAAACATCTGTTATCACTGAGAGAGAGAGGGAGAGAGAGAGTAAGAGAGAGAGACTCACGGTTTGTCAGAGCGAGAGAGAAGAATTAATGAAACAAAGATATGGTTTGACTGCTCTCATTATTTCGATGTTACCCGATTACAAGTCTGACGCATCTGACATTGACGACTAAATGAGATGATGAGGTCCTTTGCTCGCTGCTTACGCACGAGTCATTGTGGATTAGCTATGTAAATTGTTTATGTGTATATAAAAATGTGGCAAAAATGACCGACAAGCTCATTTTTCATACGATAAGCACTCCCTTATCCTAGTAACCTTTGTTGAAAAATGCGATAAAAACAACGCTGCTTATTAGCGGAGATTGCGCAAATATGATCCGTATAGCCTTGAACATTTGATAATTGGGTCTTATATTGTATGGACGTCAGTTGTTGTGGTAATTTCCGACTAACCTAGCGTAAGCTCATCAGCCAAATGATTAATGACAAGGACAAAATTAAACTGTTTTCGCTTCAATATGCCCACAGATATCGACAATCCAAGAAACGTGCTCTATCTCAGTAACATTGAACGCAATTTAAGTTTCTGCGAAAATATGAACAATACGTTTGAAATGCCTGTAACAAAATAAATTAATAAATAAATTGCACAAGCCTCTGCATTCAGAAAAAGCTAAGAAGATACGCATTGGACTGATAATGTTCATAACGTGCTATTGCGTTTACTATGAATTCTAAAACCACACACAAAAAAAAAAACGCATTATTATTATTATTATTATTATTATTATTATTATTAATAATAATGATAATTAATTATTCATTTATTTTAATTTTGTTCTGCTGAAAATTATTTTGTAGAAAATTGTAAAAAAAAAATAGTACAAATGGAAAATTGCTGCCCATAGTACATGAAAAAGCCTCTCTTGTTATTTGACCTCCATAAAACCAAAACATAGCTATTAAAGTCATAAGATATATGCGTGACATCCAGAATATACGTCCTTGCTTTGCCACCTACGTTTTCCAGACGTAGCGTCATAAATAGTTCATCATTATTATCCCCGATCAAGGCAACAGCAACAGAATTACCGTGTTTCCTTCCCAAAGCTCCCATTGCCATCATCAGTGACGAGCTTATTATGCTAAATCATGATATCCAATCGGAGAGTTGGCATATCGAGCTAGTTAGCGTCTGACATTCGCACTAAATGCCATCCTCTTCCAACACCTACACATTTACAACAAGTACCGCCAAAAGTGTTTATTGAGTTACGGAGTGAACATGTTCAAGAGCCTCAGTCAGTCGGCAACGCGAACTACAACATGCAAGCAGCAGACCGAATAAGTGTGTTCATTGGTTCGGTACTGGAAAGAGGAAAGAGAAGCTTGTTTCCTACAAAACCGACACTAACGAGAACCTGTGAAAGCAATACGAATTCAAAGCAGATAATCCGAGCGCCGTACAAGGAATGCCATGGAACAGCATGCGATGGAGGCGAGAGAGACAAAACTTGGACTGCGAGACTGTTCTCTTGTTTTTGTTTCCGTCCTCACAGAAGAAGTAACAATGAACATTTCTTTTATACAATTTCAGAGGAAAATGAAGAAGGAGACAACGACTCAGTATTTCTTGAAGAGGGGGAAGATATCGATTGGTAAGTTGCACTCGAGAAGTCTTGTATGAATCATTGACGGATGAATCCTCTGAAATGATGAATCTTGAAAGTACTCGATAAACTTGAGCGAGTGGTATGCACTGGGCTTTTTGCGAAGGTGCTATATCGTGTTATCTTGTTCATAAAAAAGATCACTGATAAAGATGTGCCAAAGCACAGTACGAAGTAAGTTATGCATAGAGCTTCTGAACGGTTCGGCATGTTGTCTTACAAAAGCCCCATTCCCATAGACACTATCGGTCTATGAGATCGATCCAACTCCGCAGGGGGTCTTGCTGACTGCAATCAGCTTTATTGAATGACACACCTCCGCTTGGAATTAATTAGAATACAGAAAAGCTGGTGATTATACGAATACGTTGGAAACAAGAGGAGGCTTGTCAAGTTGGTTGTTCAGTAAAGCTGATTGCACCTTAGGAGAGTACCCCAGATTTAGGTCGATCCACGTAAACCGATGGTGTCAATGGGAATGGGGTCTTACGTATCAGGGTGCACAGGCGTTTTTTTTTCACTTCCCTGACCAATTTGTACATCTACTGAAAAGAGCGAAAAAAGTGGAAGCAAGCTGGCGGTCTACAATATTCATGATGGAAACTGTTTTCATGTGAATGTGTGTTTAGTTCAACAGGCATTACATCAATATGTAATCAAAGGCGGTGAATTTGCAAAGAAGTACAGGAAGACTGGTTAGCATAGACAAGATTGAGTCAAACATATTGAACTATAATGAAAAAGAAAATAACGCACATGCGCGAACACCGCATGGAATAGTGAGTGGTTCAAGTTCAGGGAGGGGTACCTCATTGTGCGACTTTATTCTTATTGATTCATTGATTGATTGGTGTGAAATAGACACGGGCGCCTGACTAATTCTCTGAGATATAAGATAAGAGTTTAGTAACATGTATCACCAGACGTAGTAAGGAAGTATAGAATGAATTCAGGAAATAATTAAAAGATATAAATAAATTAGCAGAAACGAACTGCTATAAGTCAAATTTATGATAAGTAAGCACATCCAGTGAAGAGTTCGCGTCAATTCTTGCCTGCTGCTATGCTTTACCTTCATTATCTTCTTAAAGCCTTGAGAAAGGCTACATTAGGTGTTTACATATCCAATCAAAATATGATCTTGAGAAAATATTAAAGCCAACAATTGATACTTCGGTATTGCTGATGGTAATATATAGGCACTGCGGTGAAATGATATGAAGAGAAATCTGAAATCTGATACAAAATGAACCGATATCTCACCTTGGCATTAGATGAAATCCTCCAACAATCACACAACGCAAAAATGTATAAGCTCCCATCAGAAAATTAAATGCGTAGCTCGATCGTGTAGTCACCAGAAGAAATTCAAGCTATAAATATAAGATGGGACCAGATCGGCTGCCTTATAAACTAACTGTTCACTTAAGTTGTCAATATTAATGGGATAAGTGATGGCTAACGAGGGTAGATTAAAAAATTCAAAACCAAGGAAATGTGTGAGAGATGAGAAACAACCGAGTGAATAAGCAAACCAGCACACTTGCCAGTCGAAATGAATCTTGATCTTCGTGTCAGAATCATTTATCTTATCTTATTAAGTATAAATTTGGAGAGAGAGAGAGAGAGAGACCGAAGAAAATGATAACGATTGCTCTTCTTTTTCATACCCAGCGTATCCAACAGCAAGGCTGAACCACCAGATCGCAATTCTTTGAGCGACTGCATGATAGCGTTTTCCGACCTCCAGTTCAGTGAACGGATTAAAACAGGAGGTTGTTTGGAAATGCATAGGTAAGTATTCACCTGCACTTTTAACCTTAAATTACTGGGATTCCTACGCTTTCTGCTATGGTTGATGGTTAACTGTCAGACCTCAACCTACCTCTTCATTATTTCGTTATTCCAAAGTGTATGCATCTGCTGTAATCAGAAACCATTTTTTATCTATATATAGAACTGAGATAACACTTGCTTTTAAATTGTTTGATGCTTCAATGGAGGCGTAGAGAAGGTGGTCCATTAAGTGTATTAGCAATGTAAAACAATGTTTTATAACGTTAGACCGTGCCCCGTACCAACCATTTTTAAAATAACTCGGGGAAGAAGACGGTTTTTCATAGTGACCCAGACGTTCAATAGCAATCAATCGGTCTACTTCCGGGAGTTAATGTGAAAACGATTTGTGTAAAATCGGTGCTTGATTTTGCTTTCAATTTGATAGGTTCCACGCTAAAGACGTAAAACTATAAGTAGCTATCAAATTATTTCAGAGGTCAGTGGCATGGTGATGTTATTATCCACAAATATGACCCATCAGTAGAAGACGTCTTTTGGACCAAAATTTCCATGCTCAGAATGATTCGCCACGAAAACATCGCCCTTTTCATGGGTGCGTGTGCGGAGCCGCCGAATTTCGCAATTGTTACCAGGTAAGAGGCCAAAATTTTTCGTCGGCAATGATCACTACTTGGGCCTTTTTTTACTCTTAATCCTTATTGCCTGCGGAAGCTAAGTGGTTTATAGAGAAGAACATCACCCATGCTGTTAATCCAGAAATGTTGTTTTATCTTTATCGAGTGTACACATGTAACCATTGTCGATTCTGAAAAGCTTTTTCGTGGTCTTATAAGTGAGAATACAAAAATATGACTTCCTGGTGATTAGAGTGGGCTCGTCTACAATGTGTTTTAAATGTTTTAGTGGTGTATAGTAAAGAAAACTCCAATCATTTTAAAGCATAGCGGGGGAGTTTACAACATCGCTGTGCTTCACTATACGCCCACTCTACGTCTAATGGCCCTTTGCCCAAGGGCCTTTACTTCCTGTTATAACTTGACAGTATTGATATATGTAAACGCACGGTGCAATTTACACAAGACAAATGTTTTCCATTTCCGTATATTAATATATTGGAAATGTTAACCCAATAGATAAATTCTACAACTGGACTGTACCGGTTAGCTGGCCTGGCCATGCATTACAGACCCCATTCCCATATACCCCAACAGTCTACGTAGATCGATCAAATTCTGCGCAGCGGGGACACTCGCTGAGTGCAATCAGCTTAAATGAATGGCACGCCTCCTCTTGATACCAACGTACTCGTATAATCACCAGATTTTTTGCATGCTACGTAGCATTAGGAGGAGGCGTGTTACTCTATTAAACTGATTGCATTCAGTCACCACGGAGTTGAATCGATCTGTGTAGACCGATGGTGTCTATGGGAATGGGACCTTGCTCTATGGTACGGATATCGTTTACTGCTGCTTACGATCTCGATGCATTTCCAGTCTCAATTTACGCATTTACGGTATCCATGCAAGCTTTCCATGTCATTTTAAAGCTCATTTCAACCGACACTCAGCCCCTCTCCAATTATTAATTTATCTTCTCCGTGTCCGATGGCATTTGATTCAAAACTACCTCCATTATGTGCCTGCAAATGTACTTTCAGATTTTATTTTTCTCTTTTTTTTTTTTGGTTAAGTAAATAGGATATTTACACTTAAAACGTGGCTCAATAATAATAACATATAATTTATTCAGTTTTTCAAGGCCTCCGGCCCATAGTACATAATAATAATAATAATAATAATAATAATAAGGTCCGTGAGAAGTATTAAGAATTATTAATTTTTTGTCAGTGATCTAAAATTTCTTTTCTTAATAAAAAAGCATTAAATATATAAACAGCTAAACTAGATATTAAATTTGTGTTTTTTGTGTTCATTAATCTTTAAAAACTTTCTATAGTAGGGTTATTCACTGGCAAATATTTTTCTCTTAATTCTGTATATGCTACACATGTCATCAAAACGTTGCTCACTTTATCAATATAATGGTAATCAATCACAAAATTCTCTTCCTAAAGCAATGACAGAGAAATTATTTGAGTAAGAGGTTAAATAAAAATACGAAAAAAAAAACTTATAAGAACGTAAAATGAAACGTAACAAGGCGGGGGAAGGAGCATCATACTATACAAGGGGGTTCTTGCAAACAGACCTTCGTTACATTTATCAAATTTCAAAACGAAAGACTCTTTTGATATATTGTTTCAGTTTTTTATATAACTATATTTCACAATAACTTTAGGTTTGCATTTGACAGAAGCTAACCCGCTGCCCTCAGAACCCTACTACACTCTCCATCAGACCGACATACGCCAGTCAGATACATCATAACTCCATCAGATAGATTAAACATATCGTATTGGACTGCTCATCATCTAATGCATTATGTCGGTATTTTGACTTGTGTCGAACCTATTATCGCGAACGGGAACGAAATGTCATGCAATATAAGCTAGGTTACTGTTATCCTGAGCTTCAGACTTCATCGATATGGACACTGGGAAAACAGAGAAGCTGGAACTCGTTATTGCCCAGAGCAATTTATATATACCCTCTTTCTGTGTTCTTTGCGTGGGTCGGCTTTTCAGGAATGCTAACCTCCCTATTTTTTTTTTTCAGTGTAAGAAAAGGCCAATCTCTGTACGAGAAGATCCACAACAGTAAGGATGCGCCTCTTCCTCTACATTCCAAGTTTTCTATTGCCAAACAAATAGCGCAAGGTATGGGATATCTCCACGCCAGAGGCATTGTGCTAGAGAGGCTCAACTCGGAGAACATCTTCTTAGAGAGCAAGGTCAAGATCTTCGTCTTAGATCACAGCTTTTCTGAAAATCGATTAGAGAGGTAAACTTCCTGACGCTTAATCACAATATCGCGTTTTCGACGAGACACAGATGTTTGCTAATTTGATAGGGCGAAGTCACGACATCGTTTGTTTTTCCATTTTTCGTTTTTGTTTCCTTAATTACAAATTTAAAATAATAATAATAATAATAATAATAATAATAATACTAAAACTGAATTGTTCCACATATCCTCAAATTCAAACGGCGTTTGTTAAGGCACTTTATTTTATTTTATTTTATTCTTATATGTGAAATATATGAAAACGAAAATCGCGTTCCAGTATTTCCGTAAATAAATCATGAACAAGAAACACACTTGTAGCTTTAGTATACCACTAGAACGTGTTTTGCGCATTTCAGTGCAAGTTTCTTTCATTCACTAAAATGAAACTGCTATGCATGAGACATTATACCATAAATTTCTATTAATATAATTATTGTCGTCGTTGATGTTGTCATTTTCGACATTATTTTTCAGATCAGACTGCGCTTGTTTGCCGAGAGGGCGCGCCACTTATTTTGCACCAGAAATTTTGCGTACCATGAGGATCGAAAACCAACAAGTCAAACTAGAACAGAATACCAAGGAGTCTGACACGTTTGCCTTTGGGTAATATACATATTATACTGAAGTTTCGTTAAACTGTATGATTAGGTCTATCGCTTGTTGAACTCAGTTATTTGTTCACCGTTTTATTCTACAACAGTGGATCGATTCCGTAAGGCAGGCGGATTATTTCCGAGATTTCCACAAGCCTATCATCAGAACCCATATCGTAGGCTTAGCGTGGTATCTTAATTCACAATCAAATTATAAATTTAGGTGATAGATAGTGTTCTTAATGACTTACGTCAGTTTACGATTAATCCTTGAAAAAATTTAAAGCGTGGGCCCAATATTCTATCGGGATAAAAGTATTGGCGTTCACTTTTCTAACAATTTTTAAATCGTGAATTTCACCCAATATTGCCTTTTGATTTTCCAGAACCGTGTTGTACGAACTCTTCAATGGGCGTTTCCCCCATGACAAGCAACCGATTCATACAATTATCTGGAACGTAGGCTCGGGAAATACTCTCAAACTGAATCACCTCAAGTGTCCAGAGGTCATCAAAACGCTGATTAGGGACTCGTGGGCGTTCCTTCCGTCAAGCAGACCGGGATTTGTTGATATCAACAAGATTTTACAAACGGTGGTACATCTAAAGAAACGCCACAGTTCATCCGAGCCGGATTCAATACACAAGATTGGGGTCATGCTTGGGAGTTAATCGGTCAGAAATGGGAATGGAGCCTATCAAAAGCATCACAGTATCCTTAAGAGTATAACTAGGTTTTAACATGTGACGGATCTCACGTTGGATCATGGCTAAGGCATTGCGTCCCATGGCAGTGGTGGTTGAACTACAGGAGGCAAAATCATTCCAAGTCAGTGTGAATAAACGGAGTCCGCGGAGGAGACATTCCTCCCTCCATTAAATACGTGCAGGTTGGGGTTAACGTGACGTAGTTGGTCAAAATCAATGACTGGGTTTGCCTGTACGCAACAATGGGTGCCGCACTCTGTATCAAAGGTCTCCTTCGCACACGACACAGGCTTCAAGTCGAGATTACACGCGTGCTTCTCTCTTATTTTTTTAGATCTTATTCTAGATGCGCTTCTTGATTTCTGATAAACTTTCATTTGATTTCTTTTTTACTTTTAAGTTTTGAGCTATTTTAGTGCATTTATATCACTGCGATATCAGTGGCACACCAATGTGCAATTTCGTTGCCCCACAATTGGCCAACTGGTGATTTTTAAGTCTCCAGTGGTTCTAGTCCGAAATAGATTTGTAAAATTTTGCTCAAAAATTTAAACTTTTTACACTGTTAAGTTTGTTTTAAACCCAATATCTTGAAAGTTATACAGAAAAAATATTTTACAGGTGTGTATAGTAGCAGTTAATTTAAATTTGTTTTTTGTGTAATATCATATACAATCTCTTCATTTCTACTTGTAATTTTAACCTTTTATTGGAGTTATTTTGAGGTTTTAGAATAACAGTTGCCGTCTTTACATTTCATTTCTCCATGTAATGAGAATACTAGAATTAGCCTTGAAACAAAATGGTGTTCAGTTGTGGTGAACTACATAAGATACTGCTGACATGCCTGACGAATGATTTGTGGATGGAGAATATCTTCAATTTTTATATCAGTATTTTCAGAGAAAGTGAAAGAGTTATGCAGTACCTGGAGCTGACAAATACAGTCCAAACTCGGCTTCTCACTGTAAGAGTTTTATACTTTGAATAATCCTTACACAAAGTATATGCCGTATATACATGTTTATAATCATGATTTCTTGAAAGCCACTGCTGTAATTGCTAGCTTCAGTTTAACAGTATTTAAGGCATGTTGTATGTATACATTTGTATAGCCTTGTGGGTTTGGGTACACTCTATCAGAAAATTACCCTCCATCTTCAAGTAAGAGTCCCATTAAAAGGTGCTGGACACCAAAAACTACAATATCATACACTTAGATTATGAATATGTATTTTTCAAAGGAATTGTCTTCTGAGTCTTCCTTAATATTGTGCAAAAAAAGAAAGTAAAGTATATTTTTATATGCCTATTGAATAAACATTTTATGTTGAAATTACTATTTGTGTTGCATTTCTGACATNTCGCCTCTCTGATCCTCTAGTTTTACTTGAAAATATAAAAACAATAAATACAACTATATAATCATTTTTATTTTGTTCCTGCAACTCGGCTGACATTTTGTTGTAACAGCTTTGCTCTGATCTCAACTTCAATGTTTCACTTTTCAAAAATTATTGAAATATAAATGAACTTAGGTATATTTAAATATTCAGCCTCAAAGGGGTTTAAGGTGCTTACCATCTGATCATATATAAAAGGTCCAGTGGTGTTAGAAGTGACAAATTAGAAATACTACATGTCATCCCATGCAACCTATTATAAAAAGTTAGCTCTTGAATTGTGTATGTTAAAGCTTTTCAAATGATCTAATTCATGTGGTATAGGGTTTGTATTAAGATAAGATATAAAAAAATATAGAACTCGGGTGTACAGTAATTCAAATCAATGACTGTTCAAAAAAAGGCCTTCAAATGTTTCTAATCATGATTTTTTGTCCTGACCATCATTTGTTTCTTCTGCTTCATCTCCATGATTAAAATCCTCTGCTTCTATAGCATCCACATCCATACCTTCCATTTCTTCCCCCAAGTCAGAGTCTAAGTATGAAGCATCGTTATCATCTGGGTCTTCACTGAGGTCTTTTTCTCTCTCCTCACTGTCTGCCTTCCAAGTCTCATCTTCAGGGACCTGATTGTAGAGCATGTCCATCATGATGGGCTCTGGTTTGCCTTCATTATCCAATGGTCTACTATGTTGGACTTGGGCATCTAAGGCCTCCCTTATTTTTTCATCCAGGTTATCCGGGGTGATCATAGACTACAATGAATATTATCAGTAGGAATATCAATAATATCAATAATAATCAACAACATAAGACTCGAGTAATAATAAGAACAAGCAAGCCAGGCCATACAAATGTTTAACCCAGTACCTGTATCAAGCCTTAATATATTCATCCTGTTTCACTCTAAACATGAAGAAATAATTCTGCAATACTGAGATTCTAACATAACACTCTGTTACAATACAGCCTAATATCTGCCACTGTGACTGTGCAAAATATAGTTTTAAAATTAAGATTTTTTGTTTACTAGAGAATATTTCATACATTGACATACATACACTATATTCCCCCAAGAAAGATTCTGCCATTTCTCTTCTGATTTCCCGCTTCCTTAATCCCACTACCATCTTTTGATAATTAGCTGCTTCAACCTTTCTACGTTCTTTCATCATTCGCTCCTCCCTGAAATTATTTTTCATGTTCTTTTCACATAACTTTCAAGAATCTATGATCTAGAAATACATATCTGCCAGCAATGCAAGCACATATTAATTCCTACAAAGGATGAAACCAGAAGATTAGAGAGGCCCAGACACCTCCTGGGTATACTAGTGGGCTTGATTTGGTCTTAAAGTGCAATTTAAGAACACAAATAGTCTTACATGATCTTAAAACATGAGTAAGACCATTTCTAGTCTGACAGCTAATTAAGTTGTCTCCCCTTGCACATTCTCCTATTGTGAGCAGAGGTGTCCTCTCTTATGAGGGGAGATATCTCCCATTGTGAGGGGAGGAAACTGCTTGACCACTTAAGTAGATGTTAGATCATTTTTGATCTTAAAAGCAGATTCAGTCCATTTTAAGACTACTGCAGTAATGATTAAGATCGTGTAAGATCACTTGTGAACTTAAATTGCACTTTAAGACCAAGTCTAGCCCACTAGTGGTATGTACTGCCACCTGGATTAGACAAATATACGTAATCAGAATAATACCACAGTGAATTTTTTTTTCAGCAACAGCTAATTGGTAATTTGTAAAAATTGTTCATTTGTGGCAGGTTCCTGGCCAAATCCATGATACCACCATTACATACTAGTACAGTAATTCATACAATAAGCAAAGATCATCTAGCAAAGCAAACACTTGGATGAAATTTCCTCTCAAACACAGGTTCAACCCTTGAAAAGTCATTTCTTTTACTTATTATAAGTTACTGTGTACACATTTGAAAATTGCCTACAGTCTACATATCCACCAAAGATACTGATTGTTCCTAATTAAAACCTTAAAATATATAGAACCTTTAATCAAACAAAAGTACCCAACATTGATAGTCCCTTCTGAAATGTACAGGCAGACTTGGCGTTCTAAATGACTGGCAAATTATTTTCAAACTAAATAATCATATAAAAACTGGAATAAAACATGAGTCCAAGTGAACAGACAGGTCAAGGAGATTTGTTAGTAGGTGAAAATTACTTTTTATCTCAAGGAAATTTCATTTTGGCAGGTAAATCCTTTATATTGTACCTTTAATCTTTAACAGACTAGTCTTATTCTAGATCCAGGTGATACAGAACAAGTGTCATACAAATTTTTAAATTGCCATAAAATTTCACCCAAATACCTTTGTTTTGCAATTTCAGCATTCCACAAGTCATTTAACTTGTGACTTTCTTCCCATTCCGCCATTTGGGTTTTCTGACTGGCCATTAAGTGTTCCACCTTATTCATGCCTAACCAATGTAAGGTATCACGAACGATCTCTGACCTAGGAATTTAAACAAGGCATAAACTTCCAGTTGTACATGTAATGAAGGAGATTTTCGGGAACTCTTTCCTACCAAAAACTGTACTTAATAGGGACAATCCATTTTGTCTAAAGTCTGTCAACTATTTAAGTACTCGATGACTAAAACCCTCAAATCTCTCTCTTTTGTGTCAATAACTTAAATTCAGGTTCAGTGTGAGCATATGTAGGGGTACAATACAATACAATACAATACAATAAATTTTATTTCATGTCGGTTACAAATTGAATGGAAACATTAGCTTTACAGCTATTCTCCGACTGAAAACATAAGTTCCCAAAAAGCGACACTTCAGAATAACGTTTCAGTTAAGTGGGTACAGTAGAAAAAGAGTTAGGACTGGTCATTAATTTTGAGTATCATCATACCTCAATGCATTCATCTGTGATCTGTATTTTTTATGCATTTCCCTTTTCCACGTTTTTTCATACTCATCTTCTACATTGATTTTCGGCCCGATCTTCTTTTCGAGTTTGTGCAAAGGTCGGGGGACTCCTCTGTGCATTCTCCATCTAACAAACTGGAGGGAAACGGCTGCATGGTATGGTGTTCTTAATGTGTCAAAAATATGTTTCTTGGAACAGAGACATCGCAGAGAGGACGTCATTTTCAACTATATTGTTTGACTACAGATATATGCACTCGGTGCTCTCACAGGTCTGGAGTCTCAACAACACACGTGGTGCAGCATAAGAGCAAGATTACAGGGAACAAAAATACAAATGTATTCACCCTAATATATGAGATAATAACATTTTTCAAATATAAAAATAAATTTAAATTTACTTGCACATGGAAATTATCATATGTTTTTGATAATATGAACTTGCATAGATTATGCCTTTCGGATATTGACTTTTTTGTTCCATATTTTAGATAAGCGCACATGTGAGAGCTGCTCAGAGATTCTCTGCATTTTCCGCGGGCAGAGTGTCGGCACCCCGATGTTCAAAGGTGTTTTCTCAAGATTTTATTCGAGCTGGAAACAATGGGCCGAAAGCATGTTTTCTTTGCAGCGCTGTTGGGATTCACTGGTAATAAGTGCATCGCTGAAAAGTACTTATAAGTTGTAGACTAGGTCATATACACGGTAATTCCAGGTTGTTACATGTAAATGCAACTTTTATTCAATACTAATACTCTCTCTACCAGTGAAACTAATGCTTACCATTTATTTGTGACAGTTGTCTCACCATGCCAGCCTAATTACAGTTGGTGAAAGTACTGTCAAAGCTATTTAGGAAATGTCTACTTTATTTTGGTCATATTACATGTAAACACAGTGTCATCTGGGTGAGGGTGGAATGTGGAAGGCAACCCAGTCAACAAAACACAGAATCTGGCCCGTAGCCAGCAATTTCAAAAGGGGGGTTCTTTTTCTGAAAAAGTGGACCCTTTCCCATAAAAACTTCATGTACCTAGATCAAATTTTACCCAGAGTGGACCTTTTCCCAGCAAAAGGGGCGGTTCTTTCGACCCCCCCGAATCCCCCCTGGCTACGGGCCTGAGAATGAAACCACTTTGCCCAGGATTCTCATATTTAATGCAGCAGGTAATTATATACCAACAAAACAATTAATATCTTTCAGGCTTATATGCCCTTTGGCAATATGTTAAGAAGAAAGTTCCACAAAGCGTTTGGCTATGGAAATCTCTTGAAAGGAAACCAAAAACCCTTGTCGTGTCCGACTCTGCAGAATGGGATCGAGCTGAAGACCTGTTGAATGCAGATTTAAGAGTTGCCAAAGTAAGTTTCTATTTTGATTGGTTGTAATTTTAGGAACACGCTGATCTGTTTTAGGGAATTGGTGCTGTTTATGTGACCTCATTTTACCTTATATGCATCCCTTTCTCTCACAATCCTTTTGTCACAGAATTGGTCTGAAGAGGCACTGGTTGTATAATAGTTGAATAAAATTTGTTTTGAGGAAAAGCTAGAAATGATTTTCTAATGAATTTCAGTGCAAAAGGCAACCAGATGCAATGATGCATTGGATTGAACTAAATTAAGTCCTGGTTGTCCAGCTTTACTGATCCATTTTTATTGAATGTCTTTTTTACATTAAGGATGTTTCATATTCAGGTTTTGGGATTTGACTGTGAGTGGGTGAGCAGAACTGATTACCATGGGCCTGTAGCATTGCTGCAGTTGGCTACTGTGACTGGGCTTTGTGTACTGGTTAGACTGTGTAAACTAGAGGAGATTCCCGAAGGACTGAAGAAAATATTAGCTGACAAAAGGTATACAATAAGCGTATACAATGGCATACAATGTGCCTGTTGTTGTAAATATTGCAAGCATTTTTAAGAATCAAATTTTTTCCAAACAATTGATATGTGGTCTGGATTCAAGTCACAGTTGAAGGCAATGTTTCCAAATGTATCTGTTCTATTATTAAAAGGTCTGTTATTGAAAATTGCCCACTTTCAGCAGCCAGGTAATGTATTTTTCATTGTAATTCTGAACTTGTGTTAATTGTTTCAGTATCTTGAAAACTGGTGTGGACCCACTTAATGATGGAAAGAAAATTACTCAAGATTATGATATTCCTGTTAAAGGCAGTGTGGATCTAAGAAATGTTTTGAGAAGATTTGTTCGAGGAATAAAGTAAGTTTCTTCCCCTATTTTATTACCATTTAAATCGTTGTTTGATATAATAATAATAATACAATAATTGCATTTAATGCATATTGTAACTGTGCTGTCTTTGTTAATATTTCCTGTGATCTTGACAGTGAGGGTTACCCAGTTGATAATTTAGTGATTAGATGGTTCTTTTTTGTTTAGCAATATGAATTAAGTTTAATTATCAACATCATTCATGAATGCTCACTGCATTAGTTATTTAAGAGACCATTCCCAGACCCTATTGCACCAACTTTGGATTGAACTCCAAGAGGATTCTCGCTTAATTGCAATTAACTTTAGTGGCTTAGATGTCTGTCACGCCTCCTGAAGCTGATAGGGGGTAATTAACTATCATTAAGCAACTTTTGTAGGAGTCCCAGACATCTAAGCCACTTAAGCTGAAAGCAATTTAGTGAGAAACCCAGTGGAGATGGACCGATCCTGTTAAATCGATCTAGGGATGGGAACCCAGTCTAAGTGGTGTATGGTGATTTCAGTCCAAATATTGGTCTGAAGAAAATGGCCAAGGACTACCTTGATGTTGATATGGACAAGAGCATTTTTCTGCGCTGCAGTAATTGGGAGGCTGACCAACTGACACCAGAGCAAGTGAGATCCAACTTTTCACAGTTCCTACAAACTTTTGATTGTTTCATAACTGATATTTGCTACTGGTTTAAGGAATGCTATTGCGAATTCTTGTGTTAGAATATGTTTCATTTATCAATATATTCTGAGTCTAAATGTTTTTTGTCTAAAAATGTGTTGCAGTGAACTTCAAAATATAAAAGCTCATTTAACTGTTATTATTAATTTTTTATCAAAATGCAGCTACTGAATATTTTAATTCTGAATTGCCCTAGGTTAACTATGGTGCCACAGATGCTCTGGTTGGAGTAGATATTTTCATGGCAATTGTGAGCAGACGCCTGTTTAGGAGTGGAATTGTGGGTAACTTGTGGTCAGATGATGATTTATTCAAGAAAATCCAAGCCATGTGCCAAGGGCTGGTGGATGTCAAATTTTCTGCTGGGCGAAATAATATTTTAGAGTCACAGGTAGCTTAACAATAGGGAACACATATAAAACAATGTTAAAAAATAACTAACAAAAATTGCCTTCAAGTTTCTAGTTTGTTTTGTCTTAAATAATTTTGCTGTATTATAGAAATGCAATCATTTCAGTCTTCAGTATGTTTCTGTGCATCTGATAAAATGCTTTCCATAATACTATTATTTGTAATATTAAAAGTTTTTGTCTGATCAGATTCAAGAATAAAATAAGATAAGATTCACTTAAACCTATCTTTTCTGTTTTGCTGAACATTTTTTCCAAGGCAAATGCCATGAACACATAATATCAAACAATTTTCGCAGTGAATCACAAATATTGTGTTCATTCCCTTTTAGAAACCTGGTTCAGCTGCTGTCAATAAACACCTTCCCAAGCCTGTGAAAAATGCTTATTCTGCCAGGACCACCCCTCTGTACCACAACTGTCAGTTGCGTGCTCCAGATGGTCAGCTTCTAAGCACAATTGACATAAAAAAGGCACAGTGGTATATAGACAAAGAACTAGGAGGTATTCTGAATTGCATACAAATATAAAAATGATGCTTAGGTTAGAAGTAGCACGTTCCAAAACATCACCAGCTTTTTCATTTGGTACGAGTTTTCAAAGATGACTTCTCATCAACTTCTGTCATCTTAATACTTTTTTGTGTTTTCAGTGAAGATCTGCGATGATCCTTTCACTGTGAAGTTAAACTTTGAACCCAGTGGGCGACCCGAATCCAGTAGGAACTATTACCTTCAAGAAAAGAGCAATATCTGTGTTGTTTGTGGCAAAGAAGAATCATATATAAGGAAAAATGTTGTTCCTCATGAGTATCGCAAGTAAGAATTCATGCCATAAGTATTATTTCTCAATTTATTCAAATTGATCAACTTTGAGGACATATAATGTGCCACATTAATATGCATCTGTTATTGAAATATTACTCTCCTTGAGCACTGACAGGTGTTTTTGTATGGATTAATTAGCAAAGGCTAACAGTGGAATCTGAAGTCTGAACCAAAAAGCAACTTCTTTGAAACTACTGGTTTTTCTCATCTCTTAGTTTTGTAGCCACTGTTGTTGCTGCTTTTATGCAAGTCGATACTGTATTGTAAGCAATGCCACATCGAAACAACTCTTCTTTACTTTCAGATACTTCCCATCCATCATGAAGGACCACTTGTCTCATGACATAGTACTGATGTGCACAGATTGTCATCAGCAAAGCAATCTCTATGACAGTGCACTTAAACAGAGACTGGAAGTGATGTGTGATGCCCCGTCAGGATCTCAGAAAGGGGTGAAGTACAGACAAGACCCAACCTTGGCCAAGGTCAGGTCTGCTGGAAAGTGAGTCTGGCTTTGGTAAGGTTATGGTAATATGTACAAAATAACAAAGTTGTATTGTTTGGTGCATTGCTATTTCAATGAATCAGATATTGTACATTTGTATTTTTTGAATAACTTTAAAAATGAAAAATTGATTGAACATAAAGTAAAAGAGCAATTAAACTCTTGTGTTAAAAACCTGTACATCTTTTTTAGAGCCCTTTTAGAACATGGAGATAAAATTCCTGCTGCAAGAAGAATAGAATTGGAGAAAATAGTAGCAGATTACTATGGTATCGATGACTTGGATGAAACAATACTAAAAGAATCTGTTGAACTTGATACCAGGTAATAGGTTTTTGTAAAGTTGTTCTTGTCACTTTTTAATTGGGAGCAGACACAGTCACCTTAGATACTGAAATAAAAAGATGAAAATACAAAGAAATAAAAAATGAAGACGTCAAGGAAATAGTGTAAAAATTTAAGAACCTGCATGGTTCAAGTTTATTGGGTATCAGCATGTATGCATTTAGAAACTTCATTTCCAAGCAGTCTGTCTTTCTATTTATTTGTATATACAAATGCGTTTTTGATACAGACTAGCCAATGATGACTTCACACCCCATGGACTCCAGGTAGTACAGTATATGATCCAGAACAGCTCTCTGGTGCAGTTTGAAAGACAGTGGAGGCAACATTTTCTAGACTGTATGAAACCTAAATATCTCCCCACCTACTGGTCTGTTGATCACAACCACGACAGGTTAGCAGACCTGGATAGTCAAATGAAGCAGTCCATTGGAGAAGCAACATGACAGTGACACCAGAGGGCGAGGCAGGAGTAGACAAGATAGGATGGGGTGAAGGTAAACAGTGCAAGAAACTTGTGGTGGCAAGACTAGCAGATTACATTGCATGGATAATGTACTAAGTCATTTAAACACTTGATATATAAGAGTGCAATATAATGGATGAGAATCAGGGAAAAAGTTGTAAGATATGTCATTTTTACTTTGAAAAATTGACAGCTCAGAAGGCTGTTGCCTTTAAACGGCAAGCCCCCTCTGATAAATGCAGTAGTTTCTTTATTAAGTATAAAAATTTACAAAAGTGAGGGGATGCTCTCACGAACTCTAAGTAAGAGTTGTGATTTCTGTTGTATACAGTAATGACTCGCTCGATCTTTTCAGTGGGCAAAAATTATATCAAACTTTCAGATACGTCATTTTAAAACCATAAAAATTATATTTTTTATAGCATTTGTGGTGCTTTTAATGCATAGAATAGAATAGAACTATTAGGTAGTCTTCTTTTCAATTTTGATGCCACCACTCAATGGGATTGCTTTTTTTAAAAAGAAATTAAGACTTAAAAAATACAGAATCTGTAAAATTCACGATTTTCACCCATTGAAAAGATCTAGTTATTACCGTATATTTGTATCATCATTTTTGAATTGGTTTTATATAGAATGCATCTCATCTACTGTAATATCACCAAAGGGGAATGAACATTTTTCTGTTGGTATTCTGGGTTTTAGGTGACATTTTGTCTCTTGATGTAAGGGTATTTGGCAGTTCTTCTTAGCGTAGCTTAATATGCTGTCACACTGAGGAAAACAAAGCAAAACACATTCGTACTTTGATTTTAAAGCTCTTCCTCCTTAAGTAACTGTTCTTACTTCTGCTAGGTTTAATCTCTGCCTTTGACAAAAAGCTCCATTAGCTCCATTTGTTGATTGTGTAAAAGCATTACAATTATAGTACTATGCACCTTCATCTTTGTCAAAGTTATTTTTGAGCATCAAGTTTTGCTTTTTAACATCATCATGGTGTTATACAGCTGACTTTATTTAATGTTTTTTCATAATTATTTCCTACTTTACATCCGAGTTGCATAGCTTCACAATAACTGGCTTGATGGCTCCTGCTCTTCCTGACATTCACCAGGTGTCTACTTCAGAAACGATAAAAAATAGAAGTAAAAATACACAACATTAATAAATGGTTTTACTGCAAATTTGTGGCAACTTTGCAAGAACCTTCCTGCATATTTAGGGCAAGTTTGCAAGATATGCTCATTCTTTGCTGCTCTTTTTGAGGTACGAATCTTACTATTTATGCTCTGATTCATCTGGACATCTTTCATTCTTAAAGTGTACATGGTATACTCTGAAAAATTGAGAATATTGATTGAAAGTGAATAATACAAATAAGAGCAAGACTGTAGATATTACTGTTAAATTTTCCGCACAAATCTGACCCTCTTGTAAAAATAGATGGAGAAAACGATACAGGCAACCTGAGGGTCTTTGTCTTCGGACCTTTGCACTAATACCGAGAGAATGAATGGAAAACGTGTCTGGTAATATGACTGGAGTAGGGACTGTCCGGTCTGTTTTGTCCGGGGTTCTCTCTGCAAACCTATCCCCACTATAGAGTGAGCAAGATGCTGTGCAAAGCACATGCTCCATATATCTAGAGACTCAAGGGCTTGGGAGCTCGAGGTGCACCGCCCAAAGCCCCCCCCCCCCGGCTCCTATTGCAAGCCCATACACTTCAATGGCAGTTGTTCCAGTGATAGGCTCTATCTTTTGCACATACTAGATATTTCCTTCTCTTCTCTAGCTTGTCACGGTCCTCGACCCGAATAGTAGGGTCAACCACTACTGCTTTTGAGTCCTTGATTAAGATAAGATCCAGAATTAGGGTGTTCCCCTGGGGTCCCTAAGTTGCTGTTCTCGTATCACCCACCAGTTGTTTTGAAGTGCTTCATCTACGAGCATTTGGCATATGTCGTTATGCCGACTAATCCAAGCAGATTTTACACTGGGGCATTGCCTGCTGATGTGTGAAGCTGACTCGGTTCAAGCTATGCAGCGTCGACAGTTTTTAGGCAGTGCTCTACCTCTGGCACGTTTCACTCATGGGATAGACATTGGAGCGGAGCTTTAGTGCAGCAATGCAGTGTCTGGGCCTTTATCCCACCTGGATTCTTGACGCTCTTATTTGCTGCGCCTGGCACCCCCAAATGAGGCTGCTCTGATGCCTTGGCACTCCTGCTTTTCCCACGATATTCTGTACTCCTCTTTCCAATCGCAATGGTAGCCTTTGCTGAATGAAGGTATTTCTAGCTTTGCTAGTGAGCACAGTTTTATTGCCTCTTCTTTTGCCTTAGACACTTCCCCCTGCTCGGCAGTGACCTTGTTGTATTGAATCCCAAAGGGGAAATAATTGCAGGACATGTTAATCACAGCTCAGAACCACCAAACACTATCACCACTAGCATCGTCGGCTGTCAATCCCACTCCTGAAGCTGAAGACAAAGTGGAGATTTGAATTTCATTTTGAAACTTTCCAGCTGCCAAAGACAGCTGTATTCAAGTCCACTGTATTTCTTTGCGCATCAGCTTCACCAGCAAACCGAGGTAATGACATCAGAAAGTCAATTTCATTGTCAGGATAACGTGTTTGTCGCCTGCGAGACATGATATCGCCAACTCTGTCAGTATGCTTCACAGTGATCAATTAAAACGGAATACAAATCTCTGAGGACCAAAATTCAATAAAATCCGACCCCCCTCTTCTCTCTAGATCTGCCCATCATGTTTTACCCACTGTAAGCGTAAGCCTAAATTTGGGAGGTAATTACAGTGCGCTTACAGTGGGTAAAACGTGATGGGCAGATCTAGAGAGAATAGGGGGGGGGGGGATTTTATTGAATTTAGGTCCCCAGAGACTTGTATTCCCCTTTAAATTGTTATATGCATAGCCAAAAGTTTCCTTGTCCTTCAACTCTGTTGGCACTATAGGGAAATCTCCTTTTAATAACAAGGGCACATAATTTTCACAATATTCTGGGACATGGGCAAGAATAGCCGGCTTTGATGGTACCTTGCTGAGAGCATTGAAAAATCTGTCCAATCTTCCCTGTGTGGGAGGTAGTGTTGACGGCTGGGATCTGTTTTGGTTTGGGGTTGGTGGAGTTACTGGCCTGTCTGTGCATAAAGAAGTGTCAAAGTTTTTTTTTTAAGGAGGATGCAGAAGTGAAATCAAGGTTCTTAAGCTTACTGTACTTGACACTTGAAAAAGGTGTTGGTAACTTCCAATATGCCTTCTCTTGTATTACAGTTTAGGTATCTCTGATATTAACTGCAGCTTCCACAAAAATAGGAGAGCTGCAACATGGGTACAGGTCTCGCCAAGACATTTTCATTTCAATTTAACCGAATACCTCTGGTTTTAATAAAAACACTGCATTCAAACTTAGCTTCGGTGCCTAATCATAAAGCTGTCATCTATTAAGATTGTGAAATAGAAAAACAAGTCCTAACGACCATCAGTCAATACACTTGATATACAGTTATGTTGTTCACAACTTAAATTTTCTTACCTTGGCTGTTGTTACACGTTTTTCGTTGATTTCTACCGACGCCACATCCCGGACCCATCCTAACACAAACTGGTTGTAAGCATCCAAACCCTTATAACATTTTAACTGGTCTTGTGTGTATGGGCTTGGTTTGAACAGAAGATAGTTGACTATGTCTATGTAAGTAACTCTAGGTAGTAATTCCACATCGCCGCTCCACTCTGTTATTTCATACGGGTCTTGCCCTTTCAGATAAGCCAACTTCTCTTCATACCGTACTTTCTCCGCCTCTTGGAGTCCTTCAGAATACGGTATTAATTGATTTTCTTTGCTGCCAACAGATAAACTTGTGAATTTTGTGTTTTTTACCCGCAGTCACTTATACTTCACCTCCGGCACTACCGCCATCTTGGATTTGTGTGTGTGTCCCCCAATATTGTGGCAGCTCATTAATTACGTCACGTATCGGGAACGCTCTATAGTCTTTATCTTATTTTTTGCCCAATTTTTTAACCACAACTATTCTATCATGTTTTTTTCGAATACCAAGACTGTATTTTTCCTTTAAAGTTCATGTCAGTTCTATTGACTTTATGTACATTTGTACTCTTGACCTGGCTGAGTTCAATGAAGTTGCAGTGTTTGTTGTGGAGACCCTAATTCCTGATTTGTTCTTCTCTTGTCCTGTGACCAATGGTAAGGACTGGGCCAACAAACACGTCATTTACACTTGCATCTATGTCAGGAACTTTGGTCGTTTTTATCTTGACAAAAGTTATGCAGGATGCAACTACACGGATGCAACAACAACTTCCACACATCTCTGGGTTGTACCACAGATGCCCACCATTCTTGTGCATACATCTGAAGTAAAAAATGTTATTATAGCAATTATGATAGGGATATCAGGGTTAAACATACACTGTACCTGAATCTACCTTTAGTTGCACCCAGAGTCTTTTTTATTTTATTTCCATTTATTTATATTATTTTTATTTTATCTATTTATTTATTTATTTTGTTTACCTCTTTTTCTTCTGTGTTAAGGTGCAGAATCTGTGTCATCATGAGAGGAGGCAGAGCATATGTACGGTCTCCAAAAAGTTAGCCACATGGCAGTTTTCCTGTCTCATACATCTCATGTTTGGCACATTGTTCTCATGCTTGGCGCATTGGTTTAAAATAAAACTGTTGCGAGTTGCACCAGGCCACTTTCCAAAAAAACTTTGTAAACCTGAAAAAGAAAGAAGTACATGTACAGTTGAGGACAAAATTATTAGCCCTACCTAGGAAAATTCTATTCTTTTTCAACTAATTTTCAAGCACTTGTTATAGAACAAAGAAATTTTAACACAATATTTTTTAACATACTTGCTTTATTTTGGAGGCTTACATTCTTTTATTTCAGACACAGAAATGTAATTGTTTAACAAAACCAAAAATTCACCAAGGTCAAAATTATTAGCCCCCCTGATTTTAATAGTCAATTTGTATCCTTTCTGGTTGATAACAGCCTGTGGACGCTTGTGGTAGTTTTGGACAAATGTCTGACATGCCTCCTGAGGAATTTAAACCCATTCTTCTTTGGCAAATCTTTCTAGTTCCATCAGATTTGATGGTCTTCTGGCATGGACCCTAGTCTTCAGTTCATCCCAGAAATTTTCTATAGGATTCAAGTCCCGGCTTTGGGCAGGCCAGTCCATGACATTCACTTTGGCCCTCTGGAGGTAATCTTCACCAGTATGAAAGTATGTTTTGGGTCGGCCCAATTCTATTAATTCTATCAAATGAAAATAAGTATTGTACAACTTGACTGCATAGAAAATGACCCACACAACACATTTGTTTAATTTTGTAACAGATAAAAAGAATAACATCTTAACTATGACATCCAACATTTTTAGAACACAATATTAATTATTTTTTGTGCTACGTTCAAATTAACAGAACGCCTCTTAGGCTATGATTTAGGGGTATGCACACTACACATTCAAGTAATTGATGCTTTTGTAACTGAAATATCATATTGTTTACCAGTTATTTTTGCCAACATTCTAAAAATATCAAAATAAATATATAACAACAGTATTTAACCAAAAGGATACAAGTACATGTATTAATCAAACTGTTTTTTGGAGAAACACCATAGCATGTTTTTCAGTGGATGCTGGCCCTTGGTTGTGTGTCATTCAGTTTTTCTTTCATTCACCAGACTTTAATTTAAACTTTTTCTTTCTGTTGCTTGGTCTTATTTATTTATTTATTTATTTATTTTTGTTTCAGTCTTGATTCTTGTTTTTCAAGTCTTTTCTTCTTTTTCATCTCTCGTTAATTTGCACCTCTTGCTCTGCTGTTTTCAGGATTGTTGGGTTTCTGCTTCTCCTTGACTCTCTGTCAGTATGCCCAAATTTCTTCTCTCATCTTTAGTCTTTCTTGTTGGGCCAGCCTTGGATGATTCTTCATTTTTTTGTTTCTCTGCTATGTTACGTGCATTCAACATCTTCCTTACGTGCTTCAGCATGACTATTAGCTCTTTGATGTTTTTTTTTTTTCCAAATTATTTTTGCTGACAGTATAAATTTCAGGTTTCCCTTTTCTTTTCCTATTTGGCTTTTGTTCATTGTCATCCATGTTTGATACTTCATCCACTGAAAGTATTATAAATATACCTTTGTTAATTATGCATGTATTGTAGTGTCCGTACCCCCTCAAAATATATCATATACATTAATCCATAGAATATTAATCCATATACAATCTATTATTTTGCAATTAGCTATATTTGGCAATATATTGGAAGCAATATTGTTCATTTTGAATGCAAAGAGTAGCATATATTATTTTCTGCAAAATGTCTTGCCTGACTCTTATTAATTAGTATCACTTTATCGAATATACATTTATATACAATGTTTTTTCTAAACATCATAGGACATGAATGCATTTTATACAATCTAGAACAATATTTTGTACCATATTTTGAAGTTTTATCATCATTGATAAGTAGCCAGTTATCCAATGGTTAATGTATAGCTTGGGGGTACAGACACTACATTTGGCACAAAATTCTTGCATATCTTTTCATAATAAGGGGTAATATGCTATTTTCTTCCTGAAAAATAAATGTCAGTGTAGACATACATAAAATAATAAAATCAGACAGAATATGCTGTGATTCCAAAATAGAACAGATAGTAGGGATACGGACACTACAAAAATTGGGAGACACCAAGGGGCTCATGATTATAAATACCATAGCATTATTAATAATGGCCACATATGCACAACTCCTTTATTATGTTTAAGTCATAACATGGTAAATTCATCTTCCTTTGAATCCAATCATAGCCTCATCAATACTTAGTTGTTGTTCAGGGTAATAGTTTTCTAAAAATGATTTTTTAACAAAGTCCAACATGCCTCTCACCTTGAACAATGGGTCATATTCAGGGTCATCACGTCCAGGTGTGTTTGCAGTATCACTGATGTGCAGATACTGACTGAGCTTTAAAAACCTTGTTTTAGGCATTATAGAACTTTTATGAGTGCATGAATTGAGAGGAGTCGCCGAGGCTAGTTTGCTGTCAAAATTTGTTATCATACACAAAACAACAGAATCAAATACTGTCATGCCTATAATTCACNATAAAAAAGGCGAGGATTATCAACCAGATATGAAGTTACTGGTGCAAGTGCAGATCGCTGCCCGTTGTATACTTATTACAAAAAAGCGTGCCAAAACGCTTGTCGTCAATATCCAAAACGTATTTATCGATAGGCAATTACAATAGACGAACTTAAACTTAAAACAAAAAAACTCTTCTCTGTTTAGGTCATACCTCTTAAGCGGAAAGTTAAATTGTTTGGCGAAGTCGGCGTTTGAGGAGGTTGCCCCTTTGTTGGCGAAACAGACTGAACCCGTAGATGTCGATTTGTACACCACTTTACTGATATATAATATCATCTGTACGGTTGCCTTTGGTAAGAGGTAAGCTATGAACATTTCCTAATTTAACACAGGCTCTGTAAAAATTGTTTGCTCAGTTGCTTTGACAGTGCGTATGTGTGTGTTTTTTTCATTAATTCTTATCTATATCCTTTTGCATCCATTGTCCATTACTTATAATACATTTAGGTTTCTTAAGGAATTCTTGGATGTTTCTTCATTGCATTTCTTGTTAGGTACATAACATGTATGAAAAATACTTTGGAGTATATAATATTCGTAACGCACTATTAAAATGGGGTTTATCGTTTTTCTGACCTATAGCTACAAATTTGACGATCCAGAGTTTCTGTGGCTGAAAGAAAAACTGGCGGAAATTATGACCGTTTTATTTGGAAGTCGCCTGCCTGCTGACATCTTACCTTTTCTTAAGCACGTCCCTATTCCCTCAACCCGCAGAGCAAAAGAAATTCGCAATGAGATGATTGATTTTCAAAGGCGAATGTTAAAGGAGCACGAAGCCAGTCTAAATCCAGGTAGGAGTGGATTTTATATATATATATATATACTCAGTTTACCACGAATAGCAATGCGCAAACATACATTTTAAAACTGATCTTTTATTAATAACTATATTTCCAGAAAATGTTAGGGACCTCACCGACCAACTGCTGTTAGCGCGCCAGGACCATGGTACAACCAACGACGGAGACGTTAAGAAAGTTTTGACAGATGATTGCATTATTCAAATAGTGTTGGATACTTTTATTGGTAAGTGAGTCATGGGCGTCATGTACTTCATGGTAAATGAGTATTTATTATTTCAGTACAAGATTGATATATACCACACTGTTTGAAAGAGTTTTTTTTTATTTCAAACAAAGGCGATTCTACATGTAGAAGTCAATCATGAATGTATACTTTAATTTGTGTTTATGTTACATGTCTTTTAATGCATGATTTGTGGTATAATGACAATGTGCACGGTCTTGTTTTGTTAGGCCCTTTCAAGTAATTTGCTTTTCGACTGTGTCTATCTAGGTGGAGTAATCGCATCGAGAGAAACGTTTAAATGGCTTTTGTTGTACGTAGCTGACAAACCAGACGTGCAAGAAAAGATGCATCTGGAAATTATGGACGTTTTTGGTGAGATAACAACACTCTCAAGCACGAACAAACACAGGATTGCACACTAACCTTATAATGGTTGATTGCTTTATTTTTCAATTTATAGTAAAGAAATATTTGACAAAATGGAAGAAAAAAACCCAAGGTAATAACATTTCCTGATGTTTGAAACAAAGATTCCATATCATTACTGGGTGCAAGCTTATGATCAGTAAATACAGACATATACTTGTAAACTTTCCATAAGTAATTGTTTTATGGTGCATTTTTCCTACCTAATTGAACTAAAAAATACTAACAATCATATGCTTTATCTTCATTTTCTCAGCTACGGAAAAAACGATTTATATCGAGAAAATTCAAATTGTCATCATATCATTATTATAACTTTATAACGTATTTCATTTCAAATACGTTTATCTGGCACTTTACTGCAACCTTTCTGAGAATTAAATGCAATATTTAAGATAACCAATATTTCAGATGTCCTGTCATCTAAACATAAACCATAAATCAGATGAACATGTTATAATTCTACAGACGTGGACGACCTCAATCAAAGCAAATCCAAGATGAAATATTGCGAGGCGGTTTTTAAAGAGACCCTTAGAATTCGGCCGGCTACACCATGCACACTGGCGCATAAGGCACTGCGAGACACTACACTTGGTAATCGAATACGGACTAAAGTTGTTTTCAGTAATTAAGGAGTACAAGTACAATACATCTTCAATGACCTCTTTAAACTTCGCAACATTCGTACTGTATATGAATAATGTGTGAATCGCATGCCTGTAATATTGATAGTTACATGAATTATGTATACTGTCAAGTTTTATGTATTTACACTTTAAGTTTCTGACAAAGTTACAAAATAACATTTCAAAATAATTTATAATCGAACAATATATTACAACAACATGTAGGCGGCTACGATATTCCAAAGGGCACAGTGGTTTATCCAAATCTCTGGGTGATTCATCGAGATCCAAGAAATTGGGAGTCACCAGAAGAATTCAAACCAGAAAGATTTCTTACGAAAGATGGGGCATTGGAGAAAATTGACCCTAAAATATGGCGGCCATTTTCTGCAGGGAAACGGAAGTGTATGGGCGAAGCTATTGCTAGGTCGAACTTGATGATAGCCATAGTAGGTTCCTGAGATGGACTTCTATGATTGTTTTTTTAAACAGTAATATTTTGGAAGAAATAATCATGAATTCTAACGGTAATAATTAATATACAGTATATAACCTGGACTCCAGTCACCATAAGTCTATATTAGTTCCATATCGTTTAAGTTGTTTTGCTAAATTTCCTTGGCTGGTTGGGATATTTTGTTGTCCATCATGTTATATTGACTATAGTGTAGACCTGCCTTTTTTTCCAAATTATACAGTATTGCAGATGATAATTACTGAACTTAGGTGTGAGTGTCCTTGACTTTCCATTTTAGTTTCGTATAAAATTGCATTATTTTTCCAGACTAATTATCATTTTAATTATTTTTTGTTTTTCTACAGGCCATGTTTTTCCGTCAGTTTAAAGTAGCCGTTCCGCCAGGACAGAAACTGGACCTTGACCCGGACATGTACCAAATTCATTGTGTGTCAAAGCCTCAGAAAATTGTCATCAACACGTGGTAGACACGTGGCCATCTTTGAATACCACGCGGTAAAGTGTTTCCGCACATATTTACCATTTGTGTCTAGGACGAAGTTTACTAATGTTTCCCTGGTCACATAAATATGTAAAATCAACATCTGAGGAATCATATTAATTCTGCAAATTGACACTATATAAAGATGCGCTTTACCAAAAATATCATGACATATGTACCTTTTATTGCAGTGGCTCGAAATTTTCACTATTAATAGAAAACACATAACTGCTCCAAATGTTTTTTTTTATCAACATTTAGTTGTCAAATTACTAGTGTATTTCTTAATTTTGCATTTGTTTTCTTTTTCTAAATACAGCCGGTATATATGTATTACACTAAGAAATACAATGCTTAATAGTATATAATATTTGTAAAGGCTTCTGTATGGTGATGGAAAAAGATATCTTATTTGATTATATTCTTCACTAAGCATTTACTTTATCAAGAGGGAATTAGCTTTTAAAAAAGGCCACTTGTAAAATTTGAGTTTCGATGAAACAGAGACATCAAAGTACTGAGTAAATAGTGAAAGTATACTCGTTTAAGAGTAATTCATATGAGATTATCGGTTTTTAATAATATTTTAACATCCACAGACGGCCATCACTTATGTGTAGCTACATGTAGAATTGACATATTTATTTAGAACTTTTTATATATTTTATTGACGATAGTATTAGAATCGTATTAGGATTAGTATATTAATAACAATGATAATAATAATTGCGGGGAGGAATATGTTAAAGGTGTGTGCTTATCTGATTATTTTATTCGTATTTCTTCATCATGTAGCACCCTTTCCTTTGTAAATATCTGGAATGGTGTATGGTGATGCCTGGTCCACTCGCAGATCTAGCACGTGATCGTCTCTCTTTGTCCGGCACATATGTGAAAGGTGACGATCTATTTGCTGTATAATATGGAGGACGAAGATGGGAAATGATGCCTATGTATCGAGCTGATTAACTTATTTATCTGAGGGAGGAGGGGGCTCCGAAACCAACGGGGAGTTAATTGTGGAGGGGTGGGGGATTATAAAATCTGTCCCTTAACGTGAAATACTTTTCTTAATTTAAGTGCAATAAATACTAAGCACTTTTAGAGCACAAACTTCAATTTTGTTGCTTTATGAACTACCCCGCACGTTTCTGCGCATACGACGACCAAGCCGATGTGACCGGTTACTCTGTCACAAAGTCAGATATTACCATATAATAAAAAATTGACCTGCCTGACGACTAGCCATGGGCTACAATCCAGTTCCAGAATTTGGTTTTACAATTTTTTTCTGTAGGAGAAATGGCTGTCTCATGCAGCAGCAACTACGATGTTACATTACTTTCCTCTGTACTGATAAAATCACAGGTTATTGTGTTTAGACAAATCCTGGGACAGGGTTGTGCAACTTGTTGTTTTGGTTTAATAGTTGTAAACCGTGTTGAAAGCTGTTCAGTGGAGGGAATCTATTTAAAATCGATATTACACATTCACCCTAAAACGCTGCTGGTGCGTTATCAGCTCGAATTAACACCGCGATGTATATTTTGCTGTTCTGTACTTATTTGTTTAGTATACTTAATAGAAAACCATCCCTCTGCTCGTCACCACAATTAAGTTTTCAATGTGTTTTTTCTTTTGAAAAAGCCGCCATAAACTTGAACTCAAAGTTTTCATCACTCTTTTACGAGAGACATTAATTAATAATGGCGTAATTATTGCACAACAGCGTGTGAAGTCTTGTTTGCCGAATGCTATATAAAATCCACTTAACAATCCACTGAGCGGGTACTTTCAGTACCATATGTGGCTTTTAAAATAAATAAGATGAAATACGGTTGAGTGAGACAGCCGTGATGACACGTTAATGTGTTTTTATTTACCTTGAATTCAAGCTGCATAACGTTTAAACCACACGCATCAAAAGAATGATTAACTAGAGCGCTGAATGAAGCGTGGAAGGGGGGCGACGTGTTATAGCTGCAATTACTAGACTCCTATCTCTCGTACTGGAAAAGTAATCATGAAATGACAAGAAATGTATTGCCGTTTTGGTACTTGAAGGCACGATTTAAGTAAACAAGCTTTTTGTATAAATTTAAACTTCTCTAACCAAACACGCAATCAGTATGTTTTTAGGTGGAATAATAAAATTTGTTTCTTTACCGGAGTATTTACTGACACCGATACGGTGTAGGCCTATTTGCATTCCAAAGGTAATGGATCCACAAAAGGAGTATTACATGGACGGGACGTATGCCTAAAATGAGGAGGCGCTGTGAGGACTGACTCAGCTTCACACTGTTTTTAAATGTTTGTTAAATAGAATCTATTTCAATCTTAACGTCCACTTTTTACTAATTAGAAACCTCATAAAATGATTCCAGAGTCCCACATTGCCATAATGCATGAAATCCGATTGTGTTAAACTTTTTAATGAATGTAAGAAGACCGTGTACTCGGATGTAGTCATTAATAGTGACTGTACTGGTAATGTGCTCGTTAAACATTTAAATGTTATAGAAACGACCATCAAATGGCCCTAAAACAAAGTCCACCTGCAATAAAACATACCAGGTCACATAGTCCGTTGACAGTCTATTAATCCCTTCTGCATGAATCCCAGGTCATAGTGATTTCGTTACTTAAATACCAGTATTATGTTCCAGTTGCTAGGCATAAATAAAGAAGGAAACCTGTCGTTGTTAAATGTCTGCGCATGCGTGTTTGCCCCAATCATTGAGGTTGGGTCAGGTGACGCGTTATAAAATGTTGCTAATGTGTTTTAATTACGTGATGAAAAGGATAATGAGTCCTATTGAATATTTGATATATAATTTTTATCCCTAAGGCCATAACATTTAATACAGGTAACAATTTGCTACATTGTTAAAATTGTTAACATGATTAGGATAGTGGCCAAATCTCGAACAATCAATATTCTTTTTTGCCTTCTGTCTCCTTGTGGATGGGACTATGAAAGTTTGTGGTACAATAGAATTAAGGAGACATTAACAAACATATTTGAACCAGTCAGGCAAAATGAACCGTTGGATACGTTTCTGAGCCATTTACGGGCAGTGTGACCATGACATCGAGTTTTCACTTAAATATTTAAATAGGCACATGAAAATGCATCGATACTGGATACATCGATAGCGTATGAAAAAGGTTCGTAAAATGCATCACGCGTCTACCTGCATTTTATGATAATGGTAAATGTCACATGAAATGGCATATGCTTGTGTGAAGTCAGTGGTTTTTATAGTGTAAGCAAATTACGCTTTGTTTCATTCAAAGCCATTCAATTGCAAAGCAAATGCTTTATTCCAAAAACCATGATCATTTTCCTAGATGCAAATCCCCCCAAAAAGCAGCTGACGCAAATGATTGATAAGTTGTGTTGTGAAAGGATCGTGCACTGTTCATACAGCATGACTATCTGCAAAGATTGATACCGCTCATTTCCTTTCACAAGAAAAATAAAATGAATAAGAAACCACGTCTTTCTGCTATATCTGGCGCATTCCAATTCTGCAGGCGAATCTGTCTTCACACCTCAGGAATAGATCATGGAACATGCAATCAAGGTTTAACGTGTATAGTATTTTGATGTCGAGCCTTAATTATACTTAATAAATAAATGAACAGGTGACATCCATGAACTAGCTATAGCTATTACATCTCATTTGTAAGCTAATGATCTTAGCTAACTGTGTGGCTTAATGATGTATCTGTGAGCTAACTGCGACTTCACTAATGTGATTGATATTTGCTAAGGTCACCGTGTAGCATCTTTGAGTGTGACATCTTAGATATCATCTTAGAGTGATAACTTTTTCGGACACAAATGCCACCCGTACACCCATCGGGTTGCTTGGTTTTCGATATATTGATTAATTAAACGCTTTTTAAAACAAGCAAATTATCCAGTGCATTAGCTGTACATTACCTATCCAAATAATGCAGGTATTTGCATACTGAGCTATATAAAAATCGACACGCATTACCTCTCTGTAGTCTGAATTGCAGCATTTATTCCTGAGG